CTCAGGTGAAGAAACAGGTCTATCAAGGAGACAGAGCCTCTGTCTACAATGACAGGTTTGTTCCTTTCACCTGAAGAAGGCCACTTGTGTTGTGGCCGAAACGTCGTGAGAATTTTATTGTTTTATTTAAAAAAAGTTTCTATTAAATATAAACAATATGACGGAAAAAAATTTGATTTAAAGCTTTCGTGACTGCAGTCATTCATATTCTTAGCTCTTTCGGTAAAGTCACGTTGAAGAGAAACAACAAAATAATAAAATATATATAAAACAATAAAAAATTCTCACGACGTTTCGACCATAACACAAACGGTCGTCATCAGGTGTGTCGGTTCGCATTAATTTATTTATTTTAAACGGTGTATTTATTTATTTATAAAAACGTCAGCGCCACCTGCAGCGATTTGGCACTTAATTTAATTTATACATTTTTTTAATTTATAAATTAATGCAAACCGGCACACCTGATGACGACCGTTTGTGTTATGGTCGAAACGTCGTGAGAATTTTTATTGTTATATAGATATATTTTATTATTTTATTGTTTCCCTTCAACGTGACTTTACCGAAAGAGCTAAGAATACCTGCTGGATCTCCTCTCTGTTTCAAAGAACAAACGCGACCTAAGGTCTTCTTCGCTCATCTACCAGCTTCACATTTCCCTTATTGCCGTACAAATACTGGAGGAAGGGACTTTGCTATTGATGCCCCCAGGGGTCTGGAATGCTTTCGACAATAAACTGCAACCTGGATCACACTACCTGTGAGATCTTCACTCAAAACTGCTCTAGAGGAGCTGTACACCCCTAGCTGCCACTGCCATTCAGAGTGGCCTGAAATCAAATAAAATGTTTCGCTCCGGATGACCGCTGCAAAGTATGATATTGAGATTTGATGCTGGTAGGAGGAACCTCCTGGTTATACACCACAAGCCCACAGGGGATTATTGTTGTTGTTGTGTCCGTCCGTCGTGCATCCAAACATGGGAGGGGTGGGGCTGGGTGGGGAGGGGAGGGTGGGGAGGGAGGGGCTGGGTGGGGAGGGAGGGGTAGGGTGGGGAGGGGAGGGTGGGGAGGGGCTGGGTGGGGAGGGTAGGGAGGGGCTTGGTGGGAAGGGGAGTGTGGGGAGGGAGGGGCTGGGTGGGGAGGGGCTGGGTTGGGTGGGGAGGGGCTGGGTGGGGAGGGGCTGGGTGGGGAGGGAGGGGCTGGGTGGGGAGGGGCGGGTGGGGAGGGTGGGGCTGGGTGGGGAGGGGCTGCGTGGGGTGGGGAGGGGCTGGGTGGGGAGGGAGGGGCTGGGTGTGGAGGGTCTGGGTGGGGTTGGGTGGGGAGGGGCTGGGTGGTGAGGGTGGGGCTGGGTGGGGAGGAGAGGGAGTGGCTGGGTGGGGAGGGAGGGGCTGGGTGGGGAGGGAGGGGCTGGGTGGGGAGGGGAGGGAGGGGCTGGGTGGGGAGGGGCTGGGTGGGGAGGGAGGGGCTGGGTGGGGAGGGGAGGGAGGGGCTGGGTGGGGAGGGTGGGGCTGGGTAGGGAGGGGAGAGTGGGGAGGGGCTGGGTGGGGAGGGAGGGGCTGGGTGGGGAGGGAGGGGCTGGGTGGGGCTGGGTGGGGAGGGGCGGGAGGGGAGGGTGGGGCTGGGTGGGGAGGGACTGGGTGGGGAGGGAGGGGCTGGGTGGGGAGGGGAGTGTGGGGAGGGGCTGGGTGGGGAGGGGAGTGTGGGGAGGGGCTGGGTGGGGAGGTGCTGGGTGGGGAGGGAGGGGCTGGGTGGGGAGGGGAGTGTGGGGAGGGGCTGGGTGGGGAGGGGAGTGTGGGGAGGGCTGGGTGGAGAGGTGCTGGGTGGGGAGGGAGGGGCTGGGTGGGGAGGGGAGGGTGGGGAGGGGCTGGTTGGGGAGGGGCTGGGTGGGGAGGGAGGGGCTGGGTGGGGAGGGGCTGGTCACCCCGTGGTGCCCCCCTTATAAAACTCAACGTTTCACCAACTCACTCCGGCTTGTGCCCGCCCTCACAGTCGGGCATATTGTTGCTGAACACACCACGTGGTGGTGCCGCCCGTTGTTGACCCTGTCCATTGACCGAGCAACCCAACGTTCCAACCAGCTCCCTCCCGCAGGAGAATGTGATTATATTGTGCTGATCTTTGAAGGTGCATTGAAGAATTGTTGATACTCCTACATGGAGTGGCTCATGCAGCCAGCTAATGGCTGCAAACTCTGGTAGCGCATGTTATGTATGTATCGTTTATTGTAAAATTTCAATCACAGTTCCTACGATCACCGTTACATTGCTTTTTCATAGCTTTATTTTGGTGATTTCGAAAACTTTTTTGGGGTTTAGCCATATTTGTTTGTGGTTGTAGTACACAGTTAGACTGATAATAAAGTATTAAAGCTTTCGTGACTGCAAGGATTCATCTTCTTTGGTTCTTTCGGTAAAGTCACCACCACGTAGAATGAGAATAAAATAATAAAATAAAACGTTATACAATTCTCACGACGTTTCGGCCACAAACGCAAGTGGCCTTCTTCAGGTGAAAGGAACAAACCTGTCATCCCGACGGGTTTGTTCCGACAGGATTTGTTCCTTTCACCTGAAGAAGGCCACTTGCGTTGTGGCCGAAACGTCGTGAGAATTTTATTATTTTATTTTATTATTTTATTCTCATTCTACGTGGTGGTGACTTTACCGAAAGAACCAAAGAAGATGAATCTTTTGCAGTCATCACGAAAGCTTCAAATCAAAGAAAGAATATTCTTTGGTTCTTTCGGTAAAAGTCACCACCACGTAGAAGAGAAACAATAAAATAATAATAAACATATGTAAAACAATATTATTATTCTATTGTTTCCCTTCTACGTGGTGGTGACTTTACCGAAAGAACCAAGAATAATAATTTTATTGTTTTATATTTTTATTATTCTATTGTTTCCCTTCTACGTGGTGGTGACTTTACCGAAAGAACCAAGAATAATAATTTTATTGTTTTATATTTTTATTATTATTCTATTGTTTCCCTTCTACGTGGTGGTGACTTTACCGAAAGAACCAAAAATAATAATTTTATTGTTTTATATTTTTATTATTATTCTATTGTTTCCCTTCTACGTGGTGGTGACTACCGAAAGAACCAAGAATAATAATTTTACTGTTTTATATTTTTATTATTATTCTATTGTTTCCCTTCTACGTGGTGGTGACTTTACCGAAAGAACCAAGAATAATAATTTTATTGTTTTACATTTTTATTATTTTATTGTTTCCCTTCTACGTGGTGGTGACTTTACCGAAAGAACCAAGAATAATAATTTTATTGTTTTATACTTTTATTATTCTATTGTTTCCCTTCTACGTGGTGGTGACTTTACCGAAAGAACCAAGAATAATAATTTTATTGTTTTATATTTTTATTATTATTCTATTGTTTCCCTTCTACGTGGTGGTGACTTTACCGAAAGAACCAAAAATAATAATTTTATTGTTTTATATTTTTATTATTATTCTATTGTTTCCCTTCTACGTGGTGGTGACTACCGAAAGAACCAAGAATAATAATTTTACTGTTTTATATTTTTATTATTATTCTATTGTTTCCCTTCTACGTAGTGGTGACTTTACCGAAAGAACCAAGAATAATAATTTTATTGTTTTACATTTTTATTATTTTATTGTTTCCCTTCTACGTGGTGGTGACTTTACCGAAAGAACCAAGAATAATAATTTTATTGTTTTATACTTTTATTATTCTATTGTTTCCCTTCTACGTGGTGGTGACTTTACCGAAAGAACCAAGAATAATAATTTTATTGTTTTATATTTTTATTATTTTATTGTTTCCCTTCTAACGTGGTGGTGACTTTACCGAAAGAACCAAGAATAATAATTTTATTGTTTTATATTTTTATTATTTTATTGTTTCCCTTCTAACGTGGTGGTGACTTTACCGAAAGAACCAAGAATTTGAATCCCTGCGGTCACGAAGGCTTTAAATTCAAATCGCGAGAATGAAATTAAAATCCCGATTTAAAGCTTTCGTGACTGCAAGGATTAATCTTCTTCGGTTTGCATTAATTTATAATTAATAATAAGTCGGTTTGCATTAATTTATAATTAATTATAATTATAAATTAATGCAAACCGACTCACCTGATGACGACCGTTTGTGTTATGGTCGAAACGTCGTGAGAATTGTTTTTATTGTTTTATAGATGTACATTTTATTATTTTATTGTTTCCCTTCAACGTGACTTTAACCGAAAGAGCTAAGAATATTAATTACTGCAGTCACCAAAGCTTTTAAATTAAAATTTAAAATCCGTCTGAGTCCGGATCTTGCCGCTCGTGGTACCTCTCAGTGGACGCGACCAAGTAGGTTTGACGGTGGTGGAGGGGGGGGGGGTGTAATAATTGTTAATTCGCCCCGAGACACAACGACGGCCGCAAATACGTTTCGAAAACTTTTAAACGGTAACGAGTGAAATTAAAAACTAAATAGTGGTGGGTGGGTGGGAAGACAAATACGGCTGTGGAAAGGAAAGACGAAAGGAGCCTGAGGCGAGATGGCGGATACCCCCCCCCACTCAGCGTAATGGACGCACCCAACGAGATCAGTTTTCCCGCGCTTTTTATTGGCGTTTGCGCCTCAGAAAGAGCGAGCGAGCGAGGGTGGACGTCAAGTGACGATATCGCCCACCACCTCTTCGCCTCCGAAGTCCACCTCGTCACACGCAAGCTCAGATTAGCGCGATTGGGCTGCGTACGGTGCGAAGGAAGTTCAACGCACGCACCTCGTTTTCCCCGTCGTCTCACCTCCTCATTAACCCCGCCATCCCTCATCTCATCGTCATCCCAACTCATTCAGGACCACCTCGTCCACCAGCACCTCGTTCACCAGCACCTCGTCCACCAGCACCTCGTCTACCACCTCACACACCACCTCATCCAGCACCACCTCGTCCACCATCTCACACACCACCTCATCCAGCACCACCTCGTCCACCATCACCTCATCCACTATCACCTCGTCCACCACCTCATCCAGCACCACCTCGTCGACCACCTCACCCATCACCTCATCCACCACCACCTCACCCACCACCTCATACACCACCACCTCGTCCACCACCTCACCCACCACCTCATCCACCACCTCATCACCACCACCTCGTCCACCTTATCCACCACCACCTCGTCCACCACCTTATCCACCACCACAACCTCGTCCACCTTATCCACCACCTTGTAAACCACATCGTACACCACACCTTGTCCACCACACCTCGTCGCCCCTGTGACGAGGTGAAGGATGAGTCTACGAAGAGGCGCCCTGCTGGTGTTGGAGGGCGCGGACCGAGCCGGGAAATCGACCCAGGCCGCCCTCCTCGTCGACCACCTTCTCACACGCGCCGGGGTGAGCGCACAGGGCATGGCGTTCCCAGGTGAGGAGGTGGTGAGGGTGAGGTAGACACGGGGTGAGGTTAAAGGTGAGTAGGTGAGGTTACTGGGTGAGCGCACAGGGCATGGCGTTCCCAGGTGAGGAGGTGGTGAGGGTGAGGTAGACACGGGGTGAGGTTAAAGGTGAGGAGGTGAGGGTGAGGTAGACAGGGGGTGAGGTTAAAGGTGAGGAGGTGAGGGTGAGGTAGACACGGGGTGAGGTTAAAGGTGAGGAGGTGAGGGTGAGGTAGACACGGGGTGAGGTTAAAGGTGAGGAGGTGAGGGTGAGGTAGACACGGGGTGAGGTTAAACGTGAGGAGGTGAGGGTGAGGTAGACAGGGGGTGAGGTTAAAGGTGAGGTTAAAGGTGAGGGTGAGGTAGACACTGGGTGAGGTAAAAGGTGAGGAGGTGAGAGACGCAGGGTGTACACTCACCCGCGTGTGGTCTGTAGCAAACGAGTTTACACAGTCGGGGGCATAGCTGGTGCACCTAGCCTGGCACAGTAGGGGGTACAGGTGGTGCATCTGCCAGGCATCTCAGTCAACCCATGGCACCTGGTTCTGTCCCGTGACATGCACCTAGCCTGGCACAGCAGTCAACCCATGGCACCTGGCACTGACCCCAATGACCTCCTGCACCTAGCCTGGCACAGCAGTCAACCCATGGCACCTGCTGGGTCTGTCCCGTGACCTCCTGCACCTAGCCTGGCACAGCAGTCAACCCATGGCACCTGCTGGGTCTGTCCTGTGACCTCCTGCACCTAGCCTGGCACAACAGTCAACCCATGGCAGCTGCTGGGTCTGTCCCATGACCTGCACCTAGCCTGGCACAGCAGTCAACCCATGGCACCTGCTGGGTCTGACCCCATGACCTCCTGCACCTAGCCTGGCACAGCAGTCAACCCATGGCACCTGCTGGGTCTGTCCCGTGACCTCATGCACCTAGCCTGGCACAGCAGGAAGCGAGAGCCTTACACCCTAAACGTGACGACCCCAAGGTGCACCTAGCCTGGCACGAGCGCCGTGGTGACGTCACCGCCACTTCACAGAGCAGCCATCACCACCCCTACTACTGACAGACTGATGCACAGGGACAGCTGCCACTGGGGGTGCCCCTAGGCTAGACCCACACAGCAAAAATCATCACCACCCCTACTACTGACAGACTGATGCACAGGGACAGCTGCCACTAGGGGTGCCCCTAGGCTAGACCCACACAGCAAAAATCATCACCACCCCTACTACTGACAGACTGATGCACAGGGACAGCTGCCACTGGGGGTGCCCCTAGGCTAGACCCACACAGCAACAATCATCACCACCCCTACTACTGACAGACTGATGCACAGGGACAGCTGCCACTGGGGGTGCCCCTAGGCTAGACCCACACAGCAGTCAATCATACCACCTCTACTACTGGCAGACTGATGCACAGGGACAGCTGTCACTGGGGGTGCCCCTAGGCTAGACCCACACAGCAGTCAATCACCACCACCCCTACTACTGACAGACTGATGCACAAGGACAGCTGCCACTGGGGGTGCCCCTAGGCTAGACCCACACAGCAGTCAATCATCACCACCCCTACTACTGACAGACTGATGTACAGAGACAGCTGCCACTGGGGTGCCCCTAGGCTAGACCCACACAGCAGTCAATCACCACCACCCCCTACTACTGACAGACTGATGCACAGGGACAGCTGCCACTGGGGGTGCCCCTAGGGCTAGACCCACACAGTAATCATCAATCCCCCCCTGGCACATCTTGCCGTGATTGCTAGGAGATGTCGACTACCTCGCCTGGCACGCAGGAGGTCGTGGGTTCGACAATGACCCTGACGACGCCTGCTGTATATGTGGAGTCTGCGTGTCTCTCTCATCATCATCATCATCACGGTGGCTAGGAGATGTTAACTACCTCGCCTGGTACGCAGGAGGTCGTGGGTTCGATCCCGACCCTGACAATGCCTGCTGCTGTATATGTGGAGTCTGCGTGTCTCTCTCGCATCATCATCATCATCACAGTGGCTAGGGGATGTCGACTACCTCGCCTGGTATGCAGGAGGTCGTGGGTTCGATCCCGACCCTGATGACGCCTGCTGCTGTATATTTGGAGTCTGCGTCTCTCTCTCTCATCATCATCATCACGGTGGCTAGGAGATGTTGACTACCTCGCCTGGTATACAGGAGGTCGTGGGTTTGATCCCGACCCTGACGACGCCTGCTGCTGTATATGTGGAGTCTGCGTCTCTCTCTCTCTCCCCGTGGTCGCGTGGATTTTTCTCTCCGGGTCCCCCGGTTTTTCCCCTCCACATTTAGAATCAACGTCACCACGCGTTTAGAGCATTTGCCTGTTGCTATACATTTCCACGTGATTAGACCACTTCTATGAGCTGTGATTATAGCTCGGTGGAGCTTACCTGGTAAAATAAAATAAAAAAACTGTTTAAAAGAAAGATAGTTTAGCTCTAGTGCCTGTGTCGCGTGGAACTCTTGTGTGTGTGTGTCTGCCGCAGACCGCACAACGCACATAGGCCAGCTGGTGAGCTCGTACCTGCAGCGCAACGTGGAGTTGGATGATCACGTTGTCCACCTCCTCTTCTCCGCCAACCGATGGGAGCGAGCGTACGCACGCGCACGCACGCATGTACGCATGCACACGCACGTATGAGCACATGCACACGCATGTATGAGCACATGCACGTACGCGCGCACGCACGCACGGTGAGCACACGGGAAGACACGAAGGGTGGACGGGACAAGCGAGGACATGGGGTGATGCAAAGGTGAGACATGGGGACATCACCGCCGTGGTGGCTAGGAGATGTTAACGACCTCGCCTGGTATGCAGGAGGTCGTGGATTCGATCCTGACCCTGACGATGCCTGCTGTACATTTGGAGTTTGCGTGTCTCTCTCATCATCATCATCATGGTGGCGAGGAGATGTTAATTACCTCGCCTGGTATGGAGGAGGTCGTGGGTTCGATCCCGACCCCTGACGCCTGGTTGTATATTTGGCGTTTGCATGTCTGTCTCTCATCATCATCATGGTGGCTAGGAGATGTTAATTACCTCGCCTGGTATGGAGGAGGTCGTGGGTTCGATCCCGACCCCTGACGCCTGGTTGTATATTTGGCGTTTGCATGTCTCTCTCTCATCATCATCATGGTGGCTAGGAGATGTTAACTACCTCGCCTGGTGTACAGGAGGTCGTGGATTCGATCCTGACCCTGACGATGCCTGCTGTACATTTGGAGTTTGCGTGTCTCTCTCATCATCATCATCATGGTGGCTAGGAGATGTTAATTACCTCTCGTGGTATGGAGGAGGTCGTGGGTCCGATCCCGACCCCTGATGCCTGGTTGTATATTTGGCGTTTGCATGTCTCTCTCTCTCATCATCATCATCATGGTGGCTAGGAGATGTTAACTACCTCGCCTGGTATGGAGGAAGTTATGGGTTCGATCCCGACCCTGACGCCTGCTGTATATTTGGAGTTTGCATGCCTTTCTCATCATCATCATGGTGGCTAGGAGATGTTAACTACCTCGCCTGGTATGGAGGAAGTTATGGGTTCGATCCCGACCCTGACACCTGCTGTATATTTGGAGTTTGCGTGTCTTTCTCATCATCATCATCATGGTGGCTAGGAGATGTTAACTACCTCGTCTGGTATGGAGAAGGTCGTGGATTCGATCCTGACCCTGACGATGCCTGCTGTACATTTGGAGTTTGCGTGTCTCTCTCATCATCATCATGGTGGCTAGGAGATGTTAACTACCTCGCCTGGTGTACAGGAGGTCGTGGATTCGATCCTAATTCCGACGCCTGCTGTATATTTAGAGTTTGCGTCTCTCTGTCTCTCATCAGCATCACGGTGGCTAGATGCTAACTACCTCGCCTGGTATACAGGAGGTCGTGGGTTAAATTCTGACCCCTGACGATGCCTGCTGCTGTATATTTGGAGTCTGCATCGCTCTCTCATCATCACGGTGGCTAGGAGATGTTGACTACCTCGCCTGGTATACAGGAGGTCGTGGGTTCCATCCTGACCCTGATGCCTGCTGTATATTTGGATCTGCGTCTCTCTCTCATCACCATCACGGTGGCTAGGAGATGTTAACTACCTCGCCAGGTATACAGGAGGTCGTGGGTTCCATCCCGACCCTGATGCCTGCTGTATATTTGGAGTCTGCGTCTCTCTCTCATCACCATCATCACGGTGGCTAGGAGATGTTAACTACCTCGCATGGTATACAGGAGGTTGTGGGTTCCATCCCGACCCTTGGAGTCTGCATCTCTCTCTCATCACCATCATCACGGTGGCTAGGAGATGTTAACTACCTCGCCTGGTATACAGGAGGTCGTGGGTTCGATCCTGACCCTGACGCCTGCTGAATCTTTGGAGTTTGCATGTCTCTCTCTCATCATCATCATGGTGGCTAGGAGATGTTAACGACCTCGCCTGGTATGCAGGAGGTCGTGGATTCGATTCCGACCCTGACACCTGCTGTGTAGGTGGAGTTTGCTTGTCTCTCTCATCATCATCATCACGGTGGCTAGGAGATGTTAACTACCTCGCCTGGTGTACAGGAGGTCGTGGGTTCGATCCCGACCCCTGACACCTGCTGTATATTTGGAGTCTGCGTCTCTCTCTCTCCCCGTGGTCGCGTGGATTATTCTTCGGGTCCTCCGGCGTTTCCCTCCCCGTTTAGAATCAACACCACGCATTTGGCTGCTGCCACCGCTGCTATAAATGTCCACGTGGTGACGATGACGACGATCACAAGCCGCCATTTCGCGCGCGCCATCATTTGTGACCGCCAGGGTCGCTGTCTGAAAAAGGAGCCACGCAGCAGCCGCTTGGGGGCCTTGCCTACGTGACTTTACCGAAAGAACCAGAGAGTATGCGTGGAGACAGCAGTAGATTCCCTATGGCGTGTGCGCCATCTACGCTCACAAGCCGGTAACTGTGCGTCTTGTGCCCCTCTCTGGCGCCGGCGTAGGTACGGCAGGGAAACGGGGTCCTAGAGGGCATAGTTTCATAGTTAGTTCATAGTTTCATTTATTTTGGTAGAGCCCTGTGTGAGCCATTCGGCTCTTGAATCGGGTGCAACCGCAACAAACAAAAACGTGAACAAGAAAAACATCTTAAAGTGACTTTGTGTGCAAACAGAAAATCCAGGAAAAAACATCAAACTATTCCTGAAATAGCACCGTACACCAACGCTGTGTGCAAAAATCCCAGTGGGATGCAAGTCAAAACACAACAACAACAAGAAAACTTAGATTAAGGCCATCAGTCTAACTCCGTACTACAATAAACAAAAACATGGCCAAACCAAAAAACTTTTAGAAATCACCAAAATAAAGCCATAAATGCAATGTAACTTTGGAACTGTGAACGAATTTTTTTACAGTAAACTACATAAATAACACGTAACACCAAACCCTACAGCCACAGCTGGCTGCATGAGTCACTCCACAAACAACAGCTGGAGCATCAGTCGGGAGTATCACATTTTAACAATGCACATTTAAGATCAGCACGCTAAAACCAAAATGCAGAATAATACTTTGCATGGGTCCCGTTGACGGGCAGAGAGAGGGGGGCACGTGAGGACGTGACCGTCTGCCTGAACTCGAGAGGGCACGTGACCGGCACGGGGTGGAAAGGGGGCCCAAAAGGGGGGGGGGGGGGGGCTTGAGGGACACGTGATACTGGCTCCAGATCCTTCTGGAAAGATCCAGAAGGGGGCGTGGCTGAGGGTGGAGCGAGACCACGCCCCCTTCTGGGAAGATCCAGAAGGGGGTGTGGCCGAGGGCGGAGCGAGGCCCTGCCCCCTTCTGGGAAGATCCAGAAGGGGGCGTGGCCGAGGGCGGAGCGAGACCACGCCCCCTTCTGGAAAGACCCAGAAGGGGGCGTGGCCGAGGGCGGAGCGAGGCCACGCTCGGGAGCATAAATGGGCGGTCCCAAGAGCGTTCTTGGCTGTCTCTGGAATCAACCCTCGGCGCTACGTCTCTCCGACCTTCGGTCTTCGCTCGGCAACGTGGGTCAGCCAGCATGATGCTGACTGACCCGGTTATGTAGTCGCCCCGTTAGGCCTAGGAGTTGTTGTTGTTGTTACGCCTTTTGGCGTCCTCTGGTCTAACACCGTTTTGAGACGAGGCTCAAAAGAAAGCTGTCTCTGGTGTGGACCAATCAGTTTCAAAGACAATGCATCATATTATCAGAGTACATGTTTTTTTTGGTTTGCATTCTGACCACAAGTATTGCGGTTAATGCAGTTACATGATTCCTTGTAAAAGGTTTCAGTTTGGTGTTTTAACATCTTAACACAGCCTGTTTTGTTGTTGCCAGAAAAAAGGGGAAAACCTATTCTCATGTTGTTACCCTGTTGGGGTCTAGTTAGTGTGTGTGTGTATACGTTGATGTAGTTAGCTCTGTTGGGGATGTGTAATAAACGCATTGCCTCCCAAGTCAAAGTGTGTGCCTCCGTTAAGATCACTGCACATGGAGGAGATGTGGAAACACACACAGGAACCCGGGTGGGGGGAGAGTACTCGTGGAGACAGGGGAACATAGGGTCCCACAGGGGATATATGGAGACGTGGGGACAAAGATCCCCCGTATATCCTTAAAAGACTGCCGGGGCAAGTGCTGTTAGTAGCGAGTAGCAGCACCTATGAAGGCTGCCGGCACTGTGGCACACGAGGGGGTGGGTGGCCACCAGAACCACGCCCGGCCGCCTTTGTCTCCCCCAGTGGCGATGTTTACTACACCACCACCGCGACACCAGCTACTCATTTGAGGCTGAGTCGACCTAGGGGAGGCCCGGGACCGGTTCAGATAGTCGTCACCGGTGTTGGTGGCCGTGAGCGGGAATCGAACCCGGGTCGCCGGGTTCGTAGCGCAGAGCTCTTTACCGCTCGTTGCACTACCGCTCCCCGCGCTACACGGAGACACAGAGACACGTGTGTATCTGTGTGTGTGGTGTAGTGTTTAGCGCTACACGGAGACACAGAGACACGTGTGTATCTGTGTGTGTAGCGTTTAGCGTTTAGCGCTACACGGAGACACAGAGACACGTGTGTATCTGTGTGTGTAGCGTGTAGTGTTTAGCGCTACACGGAGACACAGAGACACGTGTGTATCTGTGTGTGTAGCGTTTAGCGTTTAGCGCTACACGGAGACACAGAGACACGTGTGTATCTGTGTGTGTAGCGTTTAGCGCTACACGGAGACACAGAGACACGTGTGTATCTGTGTGTGTAGCGTTTAGCACTACACGGAGACACAGAGACACGTGTGTATCTGCGTGTGTAGTGTAGTGTTTAGCGCTACACGGAGACACAGAGACACGTGTGTATCTGTGTGTGTAGTGTAGTGTTTAGCGCTACACTACACACACAGAGACAAGTGTGTATCTGCGTGTGTAGTGTAGTGTTTAGCGCTACACCACACACAGAGACGCGTGTGTATCTGTGTGTGTAGTGTAGTGTTTAGCGCTACTCACACACACAGATACACACCGAGTCCGATTCCCGCTCACGGCCAGCACCAGTGACGATTGTCTGAACCGGTCCCGGGCCTCCTCTAGGTCGACTCGGCCTCAAATGAGTAGCTGGTGTGATGTGTAAACATCGTCACTAGGGAGACAAAGGCGGCCGGGCGTGGTGTTGGCCACCCACCCCCTCGTGTGCCGTGCCGGCCTTCATAGGTGCTCGGCACTTGCCCCTACAGTCTGTTCAGGCTACACGGGGTATCTTTGTGCCTGTACATGTGTCTACGTATCTGTGTGCGTGTCTATATATGCCTGTGTATCTGTGTATGTAATCTGTGTGTGTCTATGTACATCTCTGCTTGTGTCTACGTATCTGCGTGTGTGCGTGCCTATATATGCCTGTGTATCTGTGTATGTAATCTGTGTGTGTGTCTGTACATCTCCGTGTCTACGTATCTGTGTGCGTGCGTGTCTATATATGCCTGTGTATCTGTGTAATCTGTGTGTGTGTCTGTGTGTCTACGTATGTGCGTGCGTGCGTGTCTATATATGCCTGTGTATCTGTGTATGTAATCTGTGTGTGTGTCTGTACATCTGTGTGTCTACGTATCTGCGTGCGTGCGTGTCTATATATGCCTGTGTATCTGTGTATGTAATCTGTGTGCGTCTATGTACATCTCTGCTTGTGTCTACGTATCTGCGTGCGTGTGTTCATGTACATCTCTGTGTGTGTCTGCATATTTGCGTGCCGTCTATAAATGCCTGTGCATCTCAAGTTGGCACAGTAGGGGTCCACAGGTGGTGCGTCGGCCAGTCGTCTCGGTCAGTCGACCCGTGCCACCTGGGTCTGCCCCCCCTGCCAGCGGGCGTTGCGACGCTTTCACGTGGCCTCAACGTGCACCTAGCCTGGCACGAGCGCCGTGCTGACGCCACCGCCACCTGGTGGCGAAGGGCGGTTGTTGTTGCTGCTGCTGCGTGCATCTCCCGTGTATGTGCGTGCGCGTCCATGCACATCTGTGCGCGAGTCTGCGTATCTTGCGCGCGTCCGTGTGATATGCCTGCGTATCTCTCGTGCCCTTCCGCCCCAGCTCCCTGATTCGGGAGAGGCTGCAGGCGGGGGTGACGCTGGTGGTGGATCGGTACGCGTTCTCCGGGGTCGCCTTCACAGCCGCCAAGCCGGTACGCGCCCGGCGCTGGTACACACACACACACACGCACACACACACACACACGCACGCGTGGGTGGAGTGTACACGCGTGTGTGTGCGTGTGTGCGTGTGTGTGTGCGTGTGTGCGCGCCGCATAGATCAGCCAGTAGTCATCTCGGTCAGTCGACCCGTGGCACCTGCTGGGTCTGCCCCCGTGGACCCCCTGCCAGCGGGCGTTCGACGCTTCACGTGGTAGCCTCAGGGTGCACGTGGCCTGGCACAAGCGTCGTGGTGACGTCACCGCCACTTAGTGGCGAATGGCGCTTGTTGTTGTTGTTGGTGGTGTTGTTGTTGTATGCGCGCCATGGAGGAGGCTAGTGAAGGACGCTGACGCTACTGGGCAGCTGGGAGGCTCCCTCCCGGCAGCATCGGAGGGCGGAGGAGCGACGCTCGCAACGGGGAGCGGAGCGAGCGGAGCGGATAAAACGCAGCGAGTTGGCACAGTGAGGGGGGGGGTAACAGCTGGTGGTGCATCTGCCAGTCGTGTCAGTCGGTCAACCCGTGACTTCCTGCACCTAGCCTGGCACAGGAGGGGGCACAGGTGGTGCATCTGCCAGTAGTCATCTCTGTCGGTCAACCTCATGGCACCTGCTGGGTCTGTCCCCGTGACCTCGTGCACCTAGCCTGGCACAGTAAGGGGTACAGCTGGTGGTGCATCTGCCAGTAGTCATCTCAGTCGGTCAGCCTCGTGGCACCTGCTGGGTCTGTCCCCGTGACTTCCTGCACCTAGCCTGGCACAGGAGGGGGCACAGGTGGTGCATCTGCCAGTAGTCATCTCAGTCGGTCAACCCATGGCACGTGCTGGGTCTGTCCCTGTGACCTCCTGCACCTAGCCTGGCACAGTAGGGGGTACAGCTGGTGGTGCATCTGCCAGTAGTCATCTCAGTCAACCTCGTGGCACCTGCTGGGTCTGTCCCCGTGACCTCGTGCACCTAGCCTGGCACAGTAGGGGGTACAGCTGGTGGTGCATCTGCCAGTAGTCATCTCAGTCAGTCAACCTCATGGCACCTGCTGGGTCTGTCCCCGTGACCTCGTGCACCTAGCCTGGCACATTAGGGGGTACAGCTGGTGGTGCATCTGCCAGTAGTCATCTCAGTCAGTCAACCTCATGGCACCTGCTGGGTCTGTCCCCGTGACCTCGTGCACCTAGCCTGGCACAGTAGGGGGTACAGCTGGTGGTGCATCTGCCAGTAGTCATCTCAGTCGGTCAACCTCATGGCACCTGCTGGGTCTGTCCCCGTGACCTCGTGCACCTAGCCTGGCACAGTAGGGGGTACAGCTGGTGGTGCATCTGCCACTCATCTCAGTCGGTCAACCCATAGCACCTGCTGGGTCTGTCCCCGTGACCTCGTGCACCTAGCCTGGCACAGTAAGGGGCACAGCTGGTAGTGCATCTGCCAGTAGTCATCTCAGTCGGTCAACCTCATGGCACCTGCTGGGTCTGTCCCCGTGACCTCCTGCCAGCAGCGAGAGCCTTCGACACTTCACGTGGCGGCCCTCAAAGCGGTGCACCTAGCTTGGCACAGGCGCCGCGGTGACGTCGCCGCCAGTTAGTGGCGAATGGCGACTTGCTGTTGTTGTGTGCGTTTGATCGCGCATTTGATTGTGCATTTGATTGTGTGCGTTTGATTGCGCGTTTGATTGTGCGTTTGATTGCGTGCGTTTGATTGCGCGTTTGATTGCGTGCGTTTGATTGCGCGTTTGATTGTGCGTTTGATTGCGTGCGTTTGATTGCGTGCGTTTGATTGCGCGTTTGATTGCGTGCGTTTGATTGTGTGTTTGATTGCGTGCGTTTGATTGCGCGTTTGATTGCGTGCGTTTGATTGTGTGCGTTTGATTGCGCGTTTGATTGCGCGTTTGATTGTGCGTTTGATCGCGTGCGTTTGATCGCGTGCGTTTGATCGCGTGCGTTTGATTGCGCGTTTGATTGCGTGCGTTTGATTGTGTGTTTGATTGCGTGCGTTTGATTGCGCGTTTGATTGCGTGCGTTTGATTGTGTGCGTTTGATTGCGCGTTTGATTGCGCGTTTGATTGTGCGTTTGATCGCGTGCGTTTGATCGCGTGCGTTTGATTGCGTGCGTTTAGGGGTTTGACCCCGAGTGGTGCCGCCACCCGGACGTGGGCCTCCCGCGCCCGGACCTGGTCCTCTTCCTGTCCGTGCCCCCGGCCCACGCCCAGCAGCGCGGTCGCTACGGCGACGAGCGCTACGAGCACGCGGCCTTCCAGCAGCGCGTGCTGCAGCGGTACGACGAGCTGGCACGTGACCCCACGCTCACCTGGGAGGTGAGGCACCACCACCACCACTACCATCACCACCACCACCATCACCATCATCACCATCACCACCACCACCACCATCATCATCACCACCATCACCACCATCACCATCATCACCACCATCATCACCATCACTACCATCACCACCATCACCACCATCACTACCACCACCACCATCACCACCATCACCACCACCATCACCACCATCATCACCACCACCATCACCACCACCATCACCACCACCACCATCACCACCACCATCACCACCACCATCACCACCACCATCACTACCACCATCACCACCATCACCACCACCATCATCATCATCACCACCATCACTACCACCATCACCATCACCACCACCACCATCACCACCATCACCACCATCACCACCATCACTACCACCATCATCACCATCACCACCATCACCACCATCACCACCACCACCATCACCACCATCATCACCACCACCATCACCACCATCATCACCACCACCATCACCACCATCACTACCACCATCACCACCACCACCATCACCACCACCACCACCATCACCACCATCACCACCACCACCACCATCACCACCACCATCACCACCACCATCACCACCACGCACATGGCGGGGGGGCCCTCCTTGTGTCACGCTCCCTGCGCATCACTCACATTGTGTCACTCTCACTGTGTCACTCTCTCACTGTGACACTCACTCCTCTCACTGTGTCACTCACTCACTGTGACACTCACTCCTCTCACGGTGTCACTCACTCCTCGCTGTCACTCACTCCTCTCACTGTCACTCACTCTTCACTGTGTCACTCACTCCTCCCACTGTGTCACTCCTCTCACTGTGTCACTCACTCCTCACTGTGTCACTCACTCCTCCCACTGTGTCACTCACTCCTCACTGTGTCACTCACTCCTCTCACTGTGTCACTCACTCCTCTCACTGTGTCACTCACTCCTCTCACTGTGCCACTCACTCCCCCCACTGTGCCACTCACTCCCCCCACTGTGCCACTCACTGCCACTCACTCCCCCCACTGTGCCACTCACTCCCCCCACTGTGCCACTCACTCCCCCCACTGTGCCACTCACTCCTCTCACTGTGTCACTCACTCCCCCCACTGTGCCACTCACTCCCCCCACTGTGCCACTCACTCCCCCCACTGTTCCACTCACTCCCCCCACTGTGCCACTCCCCCCACTGTGCCACTCCCCCCACTGTGCCACTCACTCCCCCCACTGTGCCACTCACTCCCCCCACTGTGCCACTCACTCCCACTGTGCCACTCACTCCCCCCACTGTACCACTCACTGCCACTCACTCCCACTCCCGACTGCAGCAGGTGGATGGCACAGGCAGTCCGGACGAGGTCCACCAGAGGATCCTGCCGCTCGCCACCCGCGCCATCCAACAGGCGGCCACCAACCCCATCCTCCCCCTGTGGGCATAGCCACCACCACCTCGCCCAGTGGCGGTGGCACGGCGGCTACGAGATGTCATCTCCCTCGCCCGGTACGCAGGAGGTCGTGGGTTCGATCCCAACCCTGACGACGCCTGCTGTATATATGGAGTTATCGGTGTCTCATCATCATCACGGTGGCTAGGAGATGTCATCTCCCTCGCCCGGTACGCAGGAGGTCGTGGGTTCGATCCCGACCCTGATGATGCCTGCTGTATATTTGTAGTTTGCGGTGTCTTTCTCAAGAGCAGCATCATCACAGTGGCTAGGAGATGTCGACTACCTCGCCCGGTATGCAGGAGGTCGTGGGTTCGATCTCGACCCTGACGCCTGCTGCTGTATATTTGAAGTTTTCGGTGTCTCTCATCATCATCACGGTGGCTATGAGATGTTGACTACCTCGCCCGGTATGCAGGAGGTCGTGGGTTCGATACCGACCCTGACGACGCCTGCTGCTGTAGGTTTGGAGTTTTCGGCTCTCCCCGTCATCGTGCACATTGGGCGGGGCCTAGCCACTGGGGGGTGCCTAGCCATTGGGCGGGGCCTATCCATAGGGCGGGGCCTAGTCATTGGGTGAGGCCTAGCCATTAGGCGGAGCCTAGCCATTGGGCGGAGCCTAGCCATTGGGTGGGGCCTAGCCATTGGGCGAGGCCTAGCCACTGGGCGGTGCCTAGCCATTGGGTGAGTCCTAGCCACTGGGCGGTGCCTAGCCATGCGCAGAGAGAGGTCCCGCCCAGGCAGCCTCCCGCCGCCCTGACAGGGCAACAGCTGGCACCTTGACTCGGCATCGCGTCGCAAGGACGTTGAAGAGGTTGATGGCGAGGAAGGCGGCTGTAGTGTAAACCAACTCGTTTATTTGGTGGGGGTGGGAGGAGGCGGACAGGTGGTTGGGGGAGGGGGGTAGAATTACAGGGGTGGGGGATTGGACATCATCATCACCACCATCATCATCATCCCCATCATCATCCCCTCTTTTTCGCAGTCAAGCCTTTTGTGACAGAATAAACGCTGCTGGCAAGATGGCAAATTTTTCAAAGGTTGAGTCTTGTTCTGCAGTTCCCCGCAGGCGCTTGCGTGCGAGCTCCGTTATTTGCGAGTCGCCTGTGCGTTTGCTGTGCACGCGTGTGTGTGTGTGTGGGGGCACCGTCTCCGTGCGTGTCCACACGCGTGTGTGTGCGTGTGTCCACACGCGTGTGTGTGCGTGTGTCCACACGCGTGTCCACGTGCGTGTCCACCAACCCTCGGAGGCCCCAGGGGGGCGGGGTGGGAGGGGGACCCCCTAATGACAGCCCCCTCGCAGGATCCGCCCCCCACTCTCGTGTGTGTCACCAGAACTCCGACGGAACTCCCAAAGGAAAACCTCGGACCGCTGACATAATCTGAGACCCCCCCCCCCCCGTACGGGAGACCCCCAATGGGAGACCCCCAATGGGAGACCCCCAATGGGAGACCCCCAATGGGACCCCCCCCCAAGAGAACCCAGGACCCCTATGAGTAGGGGGAGGGGGGGGAGAATCTCAGAGTGACCCTACGGGCCACTCAGGAAAACTTGGGGGTACCCCCCCCCCTTACCTCTGTAGGAACCCCGGAAACAGACCCCTACAGGAATCTGGGATCCCTACAGGAATCTGGGACCCCTACAGGAATCTGGGATCCCTCCCGACATCTGGGATCCCTCCCCCCTCAGGCAGTGCAGCGGCCAAGCAACCCGGCGGTTTCCGCAGCGACGCCGCTGGGCGGTTGCCGTGGTTACGCCTGCAGGATCTCGAACTCGTCGTCGTCGGAGTCGTAGAAGCGCACCTCGTCAGGCCGCTCCACCTGTGTGAAGCCTGGAGATGGTGAGGGTGGGGGTGAGGAGCGTGTGGGGGTGAGGAGCGTGTGGGGGTGAGGAGCGTGTGGGGGTGAGGAGCGTGTGGGGGTGAGGAGCGTGTGGGTGAGGAGCGTGTGGGTGAGGAGCGTGTGGGTGAGTGTACCTGTGTCTCCCGGTGTGAGGAGAGTGGGTGAGTGTGTGGGTGAGCGTGTGGGTGAGCGTGTGAGGAGTGTTGGTGAGTGTTCCTGTGTCTCCCGGTGTGGGTGAGTGTACCTGTGTCTCCCGGTGTGAGGAGTGTGTGGGTGAGTGTGTGGGTGAGTGCCCCGGTGTGAGGAGTGTGTGGGTGAGTGCCCCTGTGTCTCCCGGTGTGAGGAGTGTGTGGGTGAGTGTACCTGTGTCTCCCGGTGTGAGGACTGTGTGGGTGTGTGGGTGAGCGTGTGGGTGAGTGTCTCCGTGTGTGGGTGAGGGTGTGGGTGTGGGTGGGTGTGTGGGTGAGTATGGTGAGTGTCATTGTGTCTCCTGGTGTGAGGAGTGTGGGTGAGTGTCCCTGTGTCTGCGTGTGTGGGTGAGCGTGTGGGTGAGCGTGTGGGTGATTGTCCCTGTGTCTCCCGGTGTGAGGACTGTGTGGTGAGTGTCCCTTGTCTTCGTGTGTGGGTGAGTGTGTGGGTGAGTGCCCCGGTGTGAGGAGTGTGTGGGTGAGTGTACCTGTGTCTCCCGGTGTGAGGAGTGTGTGGGTGAGTGTCTCCGTGTGTGGGTGAGCGTGTGGGCGAGTGTCCCGGTGTCTCCCGGTGTGATTGGGTGAGTGGGTGAGTGTACCTGTGTCTCCCGGTGTGAGGAGTGTGTGGGTGAGTGTCTCCGTGTGTGGGTGAGCGTCTCCGTGTGTGGGTGAGCGTGTGGGTGAGCGTGTGGGCGAGTGTCCCGGTGTCTCCCGGTGTGATTGGGTGAGTGGGCGTCTCTCCCCGTGTGTCTCTCCGCACGTCCCCATCTCTCCCTTGTCTCACCGTGTGTGTCCCAGTGTCTTCTTGCCTGCGTCCCCACGTGCGTGTGTCCCCCACGTGTCCCCCACGTGTCCCCACGTGTCCCCCACGTGTCCCCGCGTCCCCCCCACGTGTCCCCCCCACGTGTCCCCCCCACGTGTCCCCCCCACGTGTCCCCACGTGTCCCCGCGTGTCCCCGCGTGTCCCCACGTGTCCCCCACGTGTCCCCACGTGTCCCCACGTGTACCCACGTGTACCAGCAGCAGCCTGCAGCACGTCGGGTTTGCTGGGAGGGACGAACGGAGGCCAGTGCAGGGGGCGGGAGGGGATCAGCTCGAACATGGGCAGAGACGACCCGGCCAGCACCAGCTGGGGGCGGCACGACACACGGACAGTCCCATACAGTCCCATAGAAACCCACACAGAGACCCACAGTCCCATACAGTCCCATAGAAACCCACACAGAGACCCACAGTCCCATAGAGTCCCATAGAAACCCACACAGAGACCCACAGTCCCATACAGTCCCATAGAAACCCATAGAAACCCATAGAAACCCACAGAGTCCCATAGAGTCCCATAGAGACCCACAGAGACCCACAGTCCCACAGAGTCCCATACAGTCCCATAGAGTCCCACAGAGTCCCATAGAGTCCCATAGAGTCCCACAGAGTCCCATACAGTCCCATAGAGTCCCATAGAGACCCACAGTCCCATACAGTCCCATAGAGTCCCATAGAGACCCAGAGTCCCATAGAGTCCCACAGAGACCCACAGTCCCATACAGTCCCATAGAGTCCCATAGAAACCCACAGAAACCCACAGAGTCCCATAGAGTCCCATAGAGTCCAATAGAGTCCCATAGAGTCCCATAGAAACCAACACAGAGACCCACAGTCCCATAGAGTCCCATAGAGTCCCATAGAAACCCACAGAGACCCACAGTCCCATAGAGTCCCATAGAAACCCACACAGAGACCCACAGTCCCATAGAGTCCCATACAGTCCCACATAGTCCCATAGAGTCCCATAGAGACCCACAGAGACCCACAGAGACCCACAGAGACCCACAGTCCCATAGAGTCCCATAGAAACCCACAGTCCCATAGAGTCCCATAGAAACCCACACAGAGACCCACAGTCCCATAGAGTCCCATAGAGTCCCATAGAAACCCACACAGAGACCCACAGTCCCATAGAGTCCCATAGAAACCCACACAGAGACCCACGTCGTCTTAAAGAGACCCACAGAGACACACAGTCCCATAGAGTCCCATAGAGTCCCATAGAGACCCACGTAGTCCTATTGAGATTCACAGAGACCCACGTAGTCTTATAGAGATTCACAGAGACACACAGAGACCCACGTAGTCCTATTGAGATTCACAGAGACCCACGTAGTCTTATAGAGATTCACAGAGACACACAGAGACCCACGTAGTCCTATTGAGATTCACAGAGACCCACGTAGTCCTATTGAGATTCACAGAGACCCACGTAGTCTTATAGAGATTCACAGAGACCCACGTAGTCCTATTGAGATTCACAGAGACCCACGTTGTCTTATAGAGATTCACAGAGACACGTAGAGACCCACGTTGTCTTAAAGAGATTCACAGAGACACATAGAGACCCACAGTCTCATAGAGACTCGCGGACACTCGCAGAGACACAGAGATCCACGTCGTCTTAAAGAGACCCACAGTCCCATAGAGTCCCATAGAAACCCACACAGAGACCCATAGTCCCATAGAGTCCCATAGAAACCCACACAGAGACCCACAGTCCCATAGACTCCCATAGAGTCCCATAGAGTCCCATAGAAACCCACACAGAGACCCACGTAGTCCTACTGAGATTCACAGAGACCCACGTAGTCTTATAGAGATTCACAGAGACACACAGTCTCATAGAGTCCCATAGAAACCCACACAGACCCACGTAGTCCTATTCAGATTCACAGAGACCCACGTAGTCTTATAGAGATTCACAGAGACACACAGAGACCCACAGTCCCATAGAGTCCCATAGAAACCCACACAGAGACCCACGTAGTCCTATTGAGATTCACAGAGACCCACGTCTTATAGAGATTCACAGAGACCCACAGTCCCATAGAGTCCCATAGAAACCCACACAGAGACCCACGTAGTCCTATTGAGATTCACAGAGACCCACAGTCTTAAAGAGATTCACAGAGACACATAGAGACCCACAGTCTCATAGAGACTCGCGGACACTCGCAGAGACACAGAGATCCACGTCGTCTTAAAGAGACCCACAGAGACCCACAGTCCCATAGAGTCCCATTGAAACCCACACAGAGACCCACGTAGTCCTATTGAGATTCACAGAGACCCACGTTGTCTTATAGAGATCCACAGAGACACACAGTCCCATAGAGTCCCATAGAAACCCACACAGAGACCCACAGTCTCATAGAGACTCACAGACACACATAGAGACCCACAGTCTCATAGAGACTCACAGAGACACATAGAGACCCACACAGTCTTATAGAGACACACAGAGACACATAGAGACCCACAGTCTTATAGAGACTCACAGAGACACATAGAGAACCATATAGTCTTATAGAGACTATACGCACGTACACAAGTATACGCACACACACGTACACACACACACGTACAAACACACACGTAAACAAACACGTACACACACGATCCCGAGTCCCGGTTACCTTGGTAACGAAGTCGCTCCACTCGCGGAAGTCGCTCTCCGTCTTGCAGAAGAATCCCTGCGGAGACACCGGCGGCATCACCGTCTCCGTGTCTCCTCTCGTCTCCCCGTGTCTCCGTGTCTCCTCTCGTCTCCGTGTCTCTCCGTGTCTCCCCGTGTCTCCTCTCGTCTCCGTGTCTCCCCGTGTCTCCTCTCGTCTCCGTGTCTCCCTGTGTCTCCCCGTGTCTCCTCTCGTCTCCGTGTCTCCCCGTGTCTCCTCTCGTCTCCGTGTCTCCCTATGCGTCCCCAGTTTCTCCACATGCGTCTCCCCGTCTCTGCCCGTGTGTCTGTGTCTCCCCGTGTCTCCGCCTGGATCCCCGTGTCTCCCCGTGTCTCCCCGTGTCTCCGCCTGGATCCCCGCGTCTCACCAGGGCGATGGACGGGTCCAGCTGGGTGATGTGGATGCGGGACGCTCTCTGGCAGTGGAAGGAGGAGTCGGGTAAACGCGAAGTGGAATCCAGCTCCACCGCATTCTGGCACGTGTGCGGGTCCAGATAGAGCAGCTCATCCCCTGCAGACAGAGAGACAGACAGACAGATACAGAGAGAGACAGATACAGAGAGATACAGAGAGAGAGAAACAGAGATAGACAGATAGATACAGAGAGACAGACAGATACAGAGAGAGACAGACAGATACAGAGAGAGACAGACAGATACAGAGACAGACAGAGAGAGAGACCGACAGATACAGAGAGAGACAGAGAGAGAGACAGACAGATACAGAGAGAGACAGAGACAGACAGATACAGAGAGAGAGAAACAGAGATATAGACAGATAGATACAGAGAGACAGACATACAGAGAGAGACAGAGACAGACAGATACAGAGAGAGACACACAGATACAGAGAGAGACAGAGAGAGAGACAGACAGATACAGAGAGAGAGACCGACAGATACAGAGAGAGAGACAGACAGATACACAGAGAGAGACAGACAGATACACAGAGAGAGACAGACAGATAAAGAGAGACAGACAGATACAGAGAGAGACAGACAGATACAGAGAGAGACAGACATAGAGAGAGAGACAGACATACAGAGAGAGAGACAGACATACAGAGAGAGAGACAGACACAGAGAGAGACAGATAGAGAGAGACAGACAGATACAGAGAGAGACAGACAGATACAGAGAGAGACAGACAGATACAGAGAGAGACAGACAGACAGATACAGAGAGACGGACAGATACAGAGAGAGAGACGGACAGATACAGAGAGAGAGACGGACAGATACAGAGAGAGAGACAGACAGATACACAGAGAGAGAGAGACAGATACACAGAGAGAGACAGACAGATAAAGAGAGAGAGACAGATACAGAGAAAGACAGACAGATACAGAGAGAGACAGACATACAGAGAGAGAGACAGACATACAGAGAGAGAGACAGACATACAGAGAGAGACAGACAGATACAGAGAGAGACAGACAGATACAGAGAGAGACAGACAGATACAGAGAGAGACAGACAGATACAGAGAGAGATGGACAGATACAGAGAGAGAGACGGACAGAGAGAGAGAGAGACAGACATACAGAGAGAGAGAGACAGACAGATACAGAGAGAGACAGACAGACACAGAGACAGACAAATACAGAGACAGATACAGAGAGATACAGAGAGAGACATACAGAGAGAGAGACAGACATACAGAGAGAGAGACAGATACAGAGAGAGAGACAGACAAATACAGAGAGAGAGACACAGAGACAAGACAGATACAGAGAGAGAGAGACAGACACAGAAAGACAGACAGACAGAGAGAGAGAGACACACAGATACAGAGAGACAGAGACAGACAGATACAGAGTGACAGATACAGAGAGACAGACAGATACAGAGAGACAGATACAGAGAGAGAGACAGACAGGCACAGAGACAGACAGAGAGACACAGAGAGAGACGGACACAGAGAGAGAGACAGATACAAAGAGAAAGACACGTAGAGAGAGACACGTAGAGAGAGACACGTAGAGAGAGACGGACACACCCAGGCACACTCTCACACCCTCGTACCCACGTATCCGATGAAGTAGTGGGCACTGTTGGGTTTCCCGCCGATGAAACCCAGCGACTGCGGGAACGTGAAGCAGACCTGAGCCCGTGGACACACACAGAGACGCAGAGACACACACCGTCAGACACACACACAGAGACACAGACGCAGAGACACACCGTCACAGACACACACACAGAGACACAGAGACACACACCGTCACACGCACACACACAGAGACACACACCGTCACAGACACACACACAGAGACACAGAGACACACACCGTCACAGACACACACACAGAGACACAGAGACACACCGTCACACGCACACACACAACACACACCGTCACAGACACACACACAGAGACACAGAGACACACACCGTCACAGACACACACACACAGAGACACACACCGTCACAGACACACACACACAGAGACACACACCGTCACAGACACACACACAGAGACACAGAGACACACACCGTCACAGACACACACACAGAGACACAGACACACACCGTCACAGACACACACACACAGAGACACACACAGAGACACACACCGTCAGACACACACCGTCAGACACACACAGAGACACAGAGACACACACCGTCAGACACACACACAGAGACACACACACAGAGACACACACCGTCACACACACACACACAGAGACACACACCGTCACAGACACACACACAGAGACACACACCGTCACAGACACACACACAGAGACGCAGAGACACACACCGTCAGACACACACACACAGAGACACACACCGTCAGACACACACACAGAGACACACCGTCACACGCACACACACAGAGACACACACCGTCAGACACACACACACACAGAGACACACACCGTCACAGACACACACACAGAGACACAGAGACACACAACGTCAGACACACACACACAGAGACACACACCGTCAGACACACACACAGAGACACACACCGTCAGACATACACACACACAGAGACACAGACACACACCGTCACAGACACACACACAGACACACACCGTCACAGACACACACACAGAGACACACCGTCACAGACACACACACAGAGACATAGAGACACACCCGTCACAGACACACACACACAGAGACACACACCGTCAGACACACACACACAGAGACACACACACAGAGACACACACACAGAGACACACACCGTCACAGACACACACACACACAGAGACACACACACAGAGACACACACCGTCACAGACACACAAACACAGAGACACACACCGTCACAGACACACACACACAGACACACACCGTCACAGACACACACACACACAGACACACACCGTCACAGACACACACACACAGAGACACACCGTCAGACACACACACAGAGACACACACCGTCACAGACACACACACAGAGATAGACACCGTCACAGACACACACACACAGAGACACACACCGTCAGACACACACACAGAGACACAGAGACACACACCGTCAGACACAGAGACAGAGACACACACCGTCACAGACACACACACACAGAGACGCAGAGACACACCGTCACAGACACACACACACAGAGACAGACACCGTCACAGACACACAGAGACAGACACCGTCACAGACACACACACACAGAGACGCAGAGACACACCGTCACAGACACACACAGAGACAGACACCGTCACAGACACACACACACAGAGACACACACCGTCACAGACACACACACAGAGACACAGAGACACACACCGTCAGACACACACACAGAGACACACACCGTCACAGACACACACACAGAGACACACACCGTCAGACACACAGAGACACAGAGACACACACCGTCAGACACACACACACAGAGACACACACCGTCAGACACACACACACAGAGACACACACCGTCACAGACACACACACACAGAGACACAGTCATAGAGACAGTGTCATTGAGAAACGCTGAGTCCTGTGTCCCCCTGTGTCTCCGTGTGTCCCCCCCCCCCGTGTCCCCCTGTGTCTCCGTGTGTCTCCGTGTGTCCCCCTGTGTCCCCCCCTGTGTCTCCGTGTGTGTCCCAGTGTCTCCGTGTCTCCCCCTGTGTCTCCGTGTCCCCCCCTGTGTCTCCGCGTGTCCCCCGTGAGTCCCCGGTTACCTGGAGCGAGGGGATGTAGATTGGGTTGATTTCCGTGAGTCCCAGTCTCAGCGGAATCAGCAGCAGCAGCGGCCTCCAACTCCCGTCCCCACACTGCACACGCTCACCGGTACTCACCGTCACTCACCGGTACTCGCCGTCACTCACCGGTACTCACCGTCACTCACCGGTACTCACCGTCACTCACCAGGAGTCACCGTCACTCACCGGGAGTCACCGCCACTCACCGGGAGTCACCGCCACTCATCGGTACTCACCGTCACTCACCGGTACTCACCGTCACTCACCGGGAGTCACCGCCACTCACCAAATCTTACCCACTCACCCACCTACTCTCTCATCCACCCACCTACTCTCTCACTCACTCAACCACTCACTAACTCAACCAGTGTGTTACCCACTCACTCACCTAATCAGTCTGTCGCCCACTCAATCGCTCACCTACTCACCCAACCACTCCCTCACCCACCCACCCACTCACCCACTTACTCAACCAACGTGTCACCCACTCACTCTCCCGCCCACCCACTCAACCAGCGTGTCACCCACCCACTCTCTCACCCACCCACTCACTCACTAACTCAACCAGTGTGTCACCTACCCACCCACACCCTCTTACCCACCCACCCACCCACTCTCTTACCCACCCACCCACCTACTCACTCACTCACTCAACCACCCACTCAATCAGTCTGTCACCCACTCACTCGCCCACCTCCTCTCTCACCCACCCACTTACTAACTCAACCAGTGTGTCACCCAATCACTCACCCACCCACTCTCTCACCCACCCACTCACCCACCCACTCACTAACTCAACCAGTGTGTCACCCAATCACTCACCCACCCACTCTCTCACCCACCCACCCACTCACCCACTTACTCATCCAACGTGTCACCCACTCACCCACCCACTCTCTCACCCACCCACCCACTCACCCACTTACTCAACCAGCGTGTCACCCACTCACCCACCCACTCTCTCACCCACCCACCCACTCACTAACTCAACCAGTGTGTCACCCACTCACCCACTCACCCACCCACTCTCTCACCCACCCACTCACCCAGTGTCACCCACTCACCCACCCACTCTCTCACTCACTCAACCAGTGTGTCACCCACCCCCTCACTCACCCACCCACTCACTCACTAACTCAACCAGTGTGTCACTCACCCACCCACTCACCCACTCACTCACTAACTCAACCAGTGTGTCACCCACTCACCCACTCACCCACTCACCCACCCACTCTCTCACCCACCCACTCACCCAGTGTCACCCACTCACCCACCCACTCTCTCACTCACTCAACCAGTGTGTCACCCACCCACTCACTCACCCACCCACTCACTCAACCAGTGTGTCACCCACCCACTCACCCACCCACTCACTAACTCAACCAGTGTGTCACTCACCCACCCACTCACCCACTCACTCACTAACTCAACCAGTGTGTCACTCACCCACCCACTCACCCACTCACTCACTAACTCAACCAGTGTGTCACCCACTCACCCACTCACCCACTCACCCACCCACTCTCTCACCCACCCACTCACCCAGTGTCACCCACTCACCCACCCACTCTCTCACTCACTCAACCAGTGTGTCACCCACCCACTCACTCACCCACCCACTCACTCACTCAACCAGTGTGTCACCCACCCACTCACCCACCCACTCACTAACTCAACCAGTGTGTCACCCACCCACTCACTAACTCAACCAGTGTGTCACTCACCCACCCACTCACCCACTCACTCACTAACTCAACCAGTGTGTCACTCACTCACCCACTCGCTCACTAACTCAACCAGTGTGTCACCCACCCACTCACTCACCTGTGAAGAGGACCCCTTGGGCTGCTGGGCCTGGGCGTCGGAGACACTGGCAGTGTGCGGCCTCCTGCACAAACTCTCTACAAAGACAAAGACACCCCCCATAGCCTCAGCAGACTGCGAGGTCAAGTGCTGTTAGTAGCGAGTAGCAGCAGCAGCTATGAAGGTAGACACAGACAAAGGTCCCCCGTGTAGCCTCGACAGACTGCTGGGGCAAGTGCCGTTAGTAGCGAGTAGCAGCAGCAGCTATGAAGGTAGACACAGACAAAGGTCCCCCGTGTAGCCTCGACAGACTGCTGGGGCAAGTGCTGTTAGTAGCAGCAGCACCTATGAAGGTAGACACAGACAAAGATCCCCCGTGTACCCACTACAGACTGTAAGACTGTAGGGGCAAGTGCTGTTAGTAGCGAGTAGCAGCAGCACCTATGAAGGTAGACACAGACAAAGGTCCCCCGTGTAGCCTCTACAGACTGCTGGGGCAAGTGCTGTTAGTAGCAGCAGCAGCTATGAAGGTAGACAGAGACAAAGATCCCCCGTGTAGCCTCTAATAGACTGCTGGGGCAAGTGCTGTTAGTAGCGAGTAGCAGCAGCAGCTATGAAGGTAGACACAGACAAAGGTCCCTCGTGTAGCCTCTACAGACTGCTGGGGCAAGTGCTGTGAGTAGCGAGTAGCAGCAGCACCTGTGAAGGTAGACACAGACAAAGATCCCCCGTGTAGCCTCTACAGACTGCTGGGGCAAGTGCTGTTAGTAGCGAGTAGCAGCAGCAGCTATGAAGGTAGACACAGACAAAGATCCCCCGTGTAGCCTCTACAGACTGCTGGGGCAAGTGCTGTTAGTAGCGAGTAGCAGCAGCAGCTATGAAGGTAGACACAGACAAAGGTCCCCCGTGTAGCCTCGACAGACTGCTGGGGCAAGTGCTGTTAGTAACGAGTAGCAGCACCTATGAAGGCTACCGGCACTGTGGCACACGAGGGGGTGGGTGGCTACCAGCAACCACGCCCGGCCGCCTTTGTCTCCCCCATTGGCGACGTTTACAACACCACCACCACCGCTACCACCAGGCTACTCATTTGAGGCTGAGTCGACCTAGGTGAGGGCCAGAACCGGTTCAGATAATCGTCTCCGGTGTTGCCGGCTCCGTAGCGCGGCGTAGCGCTAACCTCTGCACTACGCAGAGACACACACACACACTAGTTTTTATTGTTACCGGGTAACGCCCTCACTGAGCTAAGGAGCTATTTTAACGTTGCATTTTAACTCGCTCTGTTGTTATTCTTGGTTCCTTCGGTTGAAGTCGCGTGGAAGGGAAACAATAAAACAATAACTAAAAATTTTCGATTTAAAGCTTTCGTGACTGCAATGATTCATCTTCTTTGGTTCTTTCGGTAAAGTCACCACCACGTAGAATGAGAATAAAATAATAAATTGATAAAATAAAATAACACAATAATATTCTCACGGCGTTTCGGCCACAACACAAGCGGCCTTCATCAGGTGAAGGGGGCGAGACTGTCTGGTAGGACAGCGCTGGAGTGAAAGAGCCACGTTCAGATACGGCCTTTAAGCTGTGTGAGAGGAACAAAGCGCCTTAGAGTCGCGGCATCTCTTCAGAAAGGTGAGAGACTCGATTAGTTGAGCCTTCTTATCCCGAAGTCTGTTGAATGATCTTAAGGATGTGTGGAATCCCTCCCCGTAGAGGCGGTTAAATTTCGATTTAAAGCTTTCGTGACTGCAATGATTCATCTTCTTTGGTTCTTTCGGTAAAGTCACCACCACGTAGAATGAGAATAAAATAATAAATTGATAAAATAAAATAACACAATAATATTCTCACGACGTTTCGGCCACAACACAAGCGGCCTTCATCAGGTGAAGGGACGAGACTGACACTCCAGCGCTGTCCTACCAGACAGTCTCGCCCCTTCACCTGATGAAGGCCGCTTGTGTTGTGGCCGAAACGTCGTGAGAATATTATTGTGTTATTTTATTTTATCAATGTATTATTTTATTCTCATTCTACGTGACTTTACCGAAAGAACCAAAGAAGAATAACTAAAAAAGCAAGAAAATTTGTCTTGCTGTGGTTTTCACACCTGATGATGATTGCTTGTGTTGCAGTCGAAATTTTCGTGAGAATTTTATTGTTTTATATTTCTTTGTATTGTTTTATTGTTTCCCTTCTACGTGGTGGTGGTGGTGGTGACTTTACCGAAAGAACCAAGAATTTGAATCCCTGCAGTCACGAAAGCTTTAAATCACTCTGTCTGTTGTCATTGTTGCATCCTCAAATCTTGTAACTCCATTCTAACCCACTTGCTATACTTATGTCATACTGATGACAATACTATATTCTATCATAAAAATATATATTTTTAAACAATCTTTTTTACATGTTTCGGCTTTTGTGGCAAACTTCAGGGCCACTTCCTGGAGTCGTGGAGTTCTGACATTACTACTCGTACGATACATTTCATTAAAGCGTGTTATTTTTAAAAAGTAGTTTTAAATATTACTTGTTATTTATACACGCTTTCATTGAACTCACTCTGTCTGTTGTTGTTGAATCCTCAAATCTTGTAACTCAATATTAACTCGCTTCCCAATGTGGTATCGACTGCAGACTTGGTATACTGATGTCATACTGATGACAATACTACATTCTATCATTAAAAAAATAAAAATATTTATTTTGAAACAATCTTTTTACACACTTTCATTTAACTCACTCTGTTGTTGTATCCTCAAATCTTGTAACTCAATGTTAACCCACTTCCCAATGTGATATCGACTGCAAACTTGGTATACTGATGTCATACTGATGACAATACTACATTCTATCATAAAAAATATATTTTTTTAAACAATCTTTTTTTAAATGTTATGTTTCGGCTTTTGGCTGTAATTGTCCACGGGTCCCTTACGTTGTGGCAAAGCTCCGGGGCCACTTCCTGGAGACGTGCGGTTCTGCCATTACTACTCGTACGGTACGTTTCATTAAAGCGTGTTTTTAAAAAAAAGTTTCACTTCTTCAGATCACAAACGATAGCCCAACGAAGTGTGACGGCTTATCGTCATCATCATCATCGTCATCACGTGGAAGTTTATAGCAGCACTAGCCAAATATCCTGAACCAAGGCTCTAATGATAATATATATTGGGGGGGGACACACCCACCACCCCCCCCAATATATTGCTAGAAAAAAATAATAATTGCTATGCTATGTAAATAAAAACGCTGTGCAAAACCTTGGCCACACTACTATCTGGACATGCCTTCACGTAAATCTATGCGAACTTGACGAGGCGCTTCCGTCACTGCAGGAATTACGCTCTGGTTTTGTCGGTAAAGTCACGTGGAAATAATAATAAAAAATAAAAATTTGTATATATATAAAAGCATGCGACGTTTCGATCGCAACACAAGCAATCATCATCAGGTAGAGGAACACGCATAATCGCGGAGATATATATATACACGGACCTTAAGTAGGGGGAATTAACACAGATACACCAGGGGATACAGAGAGAGACGGAACATCACACTAAATCAAACAGGGTTCAGCAAAATTTGGAAACTATGTAAAGCAACACAGACGGTCGGCTAAAACGCAATTAACGCATGGTTTGGTTGAATGCGCTGTGTCAAAGATTGTTAGATTGTAAGTTAAGTGTGAAGTTTAAGACGGCGATAGAATACTTAAACGTTGTATGCCGTCATATAATTTTATTTATTATTTCTACGTGACTTTACCGAAAAAAAAACCAAAGAATAAATCAACGCGTAGATTCGTGTCTGCGTGATTGTGGTTACGGTTGTTACTTTATCAATCCCTAATCTCTGCCATTACATACGATGGAACAAGAAGAGGTAAAACAGAAACAGAGCGATGATGTAATACAATAACACTATTGGACATCATTGTAAGAAATAAATAAAAAGGCTACCCCACGTGCGAGTGAATTTTTTTAAATATTTTAAGGCAGGAAATTATTTTAAAATTTATATTTTTTCTGGGTTGGGACCCCCAAACCCCCTGGAGGATGTTGTCCCCACCCCCCCCCCCCATGTTGATTCCATGGCCACGGCCTTGCTCTGAACACGTGGGTTAAGCCGATTGTAAAAATGTGGAGGGGGAAAAAGCGGAGGACCCGGAGAAAAATCCACACGACCACGGGGAGAGAGAGACAAGCAGACTCCAAATATACAGCAGCAGGCATCGTCAGGGTCGGGATCGAACCCACGACCTCCTGCAGACCAGGCGAGGTAGTTAACATCTCCTAGCCACCGTGATGATGATGATAAGAGAGAGATGCAGACTCCACATATACAGCAGGCGTCAGGATCGGGATGGAACCCGCAACCTCCTGGAGACCAGGCGAGGTAGTTAACATCTCCTAGCCACCGTGATGACGATGAGAGAGACGCAGACTCCACATATACAGCAGCAGGCATCGTCAGGGTCAGGATCGAACCCACGACCTCCTGCGTACCAGGCGAGGTAGTCAACATCTCCTAACCACCGTGATGATGATGATGATGATGAGAGAGAGAGACGCAGACTCCACATATACAGCAGGCGTCAGGATCGGGATTGAACCCGCGACCTCCTGCATACCAGGCGAGGTAGTTAACATCTAGCCACCGTGATGATGAGAGAGACAAGCAAACTCCAAATATACAGCAGGTGTCGGGATCAAACCCACGACCTCCTGCATACCAGGCGAGGTAGTTAACATCTCCTAACCACCGTGATGATGATGAGAGAGAGACGCAGACTCCACATATACAGCAGGCGTCGTCAGGATCGGGATGGAACCCGCGACCTCCTGTAGACCAGGCGAGGTAGTTAACATCTCCTTGCCACCGTGATGATGATGATGATGAGACAAGCAAACTTCAAATCTACAGCAGCAGGCATCGTCAGGGTCGGGATCAAACCCACGGCCTCCTGTATACCAGGCGAGGTAGTCAACATCTCCTAGCCACCGTGATGATGATGATGATGAGAGAGAGACGCAGACTCCAAATCTACAGCAGCAGGCATCGTCAGGGTCGGGATGAAACCCACGACCTCCTGCATATCACAGGCGCCATTCCCAACCAGTCTGGCAGGAATGACGCTTGCGCCAGGCTAGGTGCACTCCAACGCTCTTACTCACCTATGTCCTTGATAACCACTGTGTTGTCCATGGCAACGTGCACGGCTAACGAGCTCCACTCGTCAAACAGGGTCAGCTTCCTGCACAAAGACAAAGATCCCCCGTGTAGCCTCAACAGACTGCTGGGGCAAGTGCTGTTAGTAGCGAGTAGCAGCAGCAGCTATGAAGGTAGACACAGACAAAGGTCCCCCGTGTAGCCTCTACAGACTGTAGGGGCAAGTGCTGTTAGCGAGCACCTATGAAGGCCGGAACGGTACACAAGGGGGTGGGTGGCCAGCACCACGCCCGACCGTCTTTGTCTCCCTAGTGACGATGTTAACACACCGCACCAGGTACTCATTTGAGGCTGAGCCGACTTAGGGGAGGCCCGCGACCGGTGCAGATCATCGCTATCACCGGTGTTGGCTGTGAGCGGGAATCGAACTCGGGTCGCCGGGTTCGTAGCGCTAACCGCAACACCACCGCTCCCCACCATACACACACGCACACACACACACGTACACACACGTACACACACACGCAAGTACACACACACGCACACACGCACACAGACGTACACACACACACACATGTACGCACACACGCACGCACACACATGCACACACGTACACGCACACACACGCACACACGTACACGCACACACACACGTACACACACACGTACACACACACTCGTACGTACATGTACGCACACACACACGTACACGCACACACACACTTACACGCGTATACACACACGTACACACACACACGTACACACACACACGCGCACACACGTACACACACACGTACACGCACACACACACGTACACACAAACATGCACACACAAGCACACACGTACACACACACGTACACACACACGTACACACACACACACGCGCACACACACGCGTACACACACGCACACACGTACACGTACGCACACACATACACGCACACGTACACACACACGTACACACACACGTACACGCACACACACACACGCATGTACGCACACACGTACGCACACACACGCACTCACGTACACACACACGCACGCACACACGTACACGCACACACACGCACTCACGTACACACACACGTACACGTACACACACACGTACGCACACACGTACGCACACACGTACACACACACGTACACACACACACGTACACACACACGTACACACACGTACACGCGTACACACACGTACACACACACGTACACACACACGTACACGCGTATACACACGTACACACACACGTACACACACACGTACACACACACGTACACACACACGTACACACACACACGTACACACACACGTACACACACACGTACACACACACACGCGTATACACACCTGAGCACCTGTGCAACGGTGTTTGGTCCGTACCACTGCCCGACTTGCTTCCCCTCCCCCACACCCATCTGGGCTGCACACACAGCACACGATACACTACATTATACACCACATTATGCACTACATTAAACGCTACATTATACACTACATTATACCCTACGTTATACACTACATTATACACTACATTATACACTACACACAGCACACGATACACTACATTATACACTACATTATACACTACGTTATACACTACACACAGCACACGATACACTACATTATAACTACATTATACACTACATTATACACTACACACAGCACACGATACACTACATTATACACTACATTATACACTACACACAGCACACGATACACTACATTATACACTACAATATACACTACGTTATACACTACATTATACACTACATTATACACTACGTTATACACTACACACAGTACACGATACACTACATTATACACTACATTATACACTACGTTATACACTACACACAGCACACGATACACTACATTATACACTACATTATACACTACATTATACACTACACACAGCACATGATACACTACATTATACACTATATTATACACTACATTATACACTACATTATACACTACATTATACACTACACACAGCACACGATACACTACATTATACACTACATTATACACTACATTATACACTACATTATACACTACACACAGCACACGATACACTACATTATACACTACATTATACACTACACTATACACTACACACTACATTATACACTACATTATACACTACATTATACACTACACACAGCACACGATACACTACATTATACACTACATTATACACTACATTATACACTACATTATACACATTATACACTACACACAGCACACGATACACTACATTATACACTACATTATACACTACGTTATACACTACATTATACACTACATTATACACTACACACAGCACACGATACACTACATTATACACTACACTATACACTACACTACACACTACATTATACACTACATTATACACTACATTATACACTACATTATACACTACACACAGCACACGATACACTACATTATACACTACATTATACACTACATTATACACATTATACACTACATTATACACTACACACAGCACACGATACACTACATTATACACTACATTATACACTACGTTATACACTACATTATACACATTATACACTACACTATACACTACACACAGCACACGATACACTACATTATACACTACATTATACACTACATTATACACTACACACAGCACACGATACACTACATTATACACTACACACAGCACACGATACACTACATCATACACTACACACAGCACACGATACACTACATTATACACTACATTATACACTACATTGTACATTACATTATACACTACACTATACACTACACTATACACTACATTATACACTACATTATACACTACATTATACACTACACACAGCACACGATACACTACATTATACACTACATTGTACACTACATTATACACTACACTATACACTACATTATACACTACATTATACACTACATTATACACTACACACAGCACACGATACACTACATTATACACTACACACAGCACACTACATTATACACTACATTATACACTATACACTACACACAGCACACGATACACTACATTATACACTACACACAGCACACGATACTTTACATTATACACTACATTATACACTACACACAGCACACGATACACTACATTATACACTACATTATACACTACACACAGCACACGATACACTACATTATACACTACATTATACACTACATTATACACTACACTATACACTACATTATACACTACATTGTACACTACATTATACACAACACTATACACTACATTATACGCTACATTATACACTACACACAGCACACGATACACTACATTATACACTACATTATACACTACATTGTACACTACATTATACACTACACTATACACTACATTATACACTACATTATACACTACATTATACACTACATTATACACTACACACAGCACACGATACACTACATTATACACTACATTGTACACTACATTATACACTACACTATACACTACATTATACACTACATTATACACTACATGATACACTACACACAGCACACGATACACTACATTATACACTACATTATACATTATACACAGCACACGATACACTACATTATACACTACACACAGCACACGATACACTACATTATACACTACACACAGCACACGATACACTACATTATACACTACACACAGCACACGATACACTACATTATACACTACATTATACACATTATACACTACATTATACACTATACACTACACACAGCACACGATACACTACATTATACACTACATTATACACAGCACACGATACACTACATTATACACTACACACAGCACACGATACACTACATTATATACTACACACAGCACACGATACACTACATTATACACTACACACAGCACACGATACACTACATTATACACATTATACACTACATTATACACTATACACTACACACAGCACACGATACACTACATTATACACTACATTATACACTACATTATACACTACACACAGCACACGATACACTACATTATACACTACACACAGCACACGATACACTACATTATACACTACACACAGCACACGATACACTACATTATACACATTATACACTACATTATACACTATACACTACACACAGCACACGATACACTACATTATACACTACATTATACACAGCACACGATACACTACATTATACACTACACACAGCACACGATACACTACATTATACACTACACACAGCACACGATACACTACATTATACACTACACACAGCACACGATACACTACATTATACACATTATACACTACATTATACACTATACACTACATTATACACTATACACTACACACAGCACACGATACACTACATTATACACTACACACAGCACACGATACACTACATTATACACTACACACGGCACATGATACACTACATTATACACTACACACAGCACATGATACACTACATTATACACTACACACAGCACACGATACACTACATTATACACTACATTATACACATTATACACTACATTATACACTACATTATACACTATACACTACACACAGCACACGATACACTACATTATACACTACACTATACACTACATACAGCACACGATACACTACATTATACACTACACAGGCACAGTATATGTCTGTGCGTCCCTGTCCTCCCTACTGTCACCCACCGTGTGTCCCTGTATATTTCCGTGTCTCCCCCGTGTCTCCCCCCGTGTCTCCCCGCGTCCCCCCGTGTCTCCCCGTGTCTCCCCCCCGTGTCTCCCCCCCGTGTCTCCCCCCGCGTCTCCCCGCGTCCCCCCGTGTCTCCCCCGTGTCTCTCCGTGTCTCCCCCCCGTGTCTCCCCCCGCGTCTCCCCCCGTGTCTCCCCCCGTGTCTCCCCCCATGTCTCCCCCCGTCTCCCCCCGTGTCTCCCCCGTGTCTCCCCCTGTCTCCCCCCGTGTCTCCCCCCATGTCTCTCCCCGTGTCTCTCCGTGTCTCCCCCGTGTCTCCCCCGTGTCTCTCCCCGTGTCTCCCCGTGTCTCTCCCCGTGTCTCCCCGTGTCTCCCCGTGTCTCCCCCCGTGTCTCCCCCGTGTCTCCCCCGTGTCTCTCCCCGTGTCTCCCCGTGTCTCTCCCCGTGTCTCCCCGTGTCTCCCCGTGTCTCCCCCCGTGTCTCCCCCCGTGTCTCCCGCCGTGTCCCCACGTGTCTCCCCGTGTCTCCCCCCCGTGATCTCCCCCCATGATCTCGCCCCGTGTCTCCCCCCGTGTCTCCCGTCAGGCCGTGCCGATCTGGTGTATGGAGTAGTAGGAGTCCTTCTTGTCCAGGAAGGCCTCCACGATGTTGCCGTAGCCGCCCCCACCGGGCAGCACGGCGTCCTGCTCCCACCGCCAGTCTACAGCCACCACACAACAACACCAACACAACAACATCACAACAACATCACAATAACAACATCACAACAACATCACAACAACAGCAACATCACAACAGCAACATCACAACAACATCACAACATCACAACAACATCACAACAACAGCAACATCACAACAACAACACAACAACAACATCACAACAACAACATCACAACATCACAACAGCAACATCACAACAACAACATCACAACAACAACATCACAGCAACATCACAACAACAACATCACAACAACATCACAACAACAACATCACAGCAATATCACAACATCACAACAACACAACAACAGCAACATCACAACAACATCACAACAACAACACAACAACATCACAACAACAACAACATCACAGCAATATCACAACATCACAACAACAACATCACAACAACACAACAACAACATCACAACAACATCACAACATCACAACAACAACACAACAACATCACAACAACAGCAACATCACAACAACATCACAACAACATCACAAGAACATCACAACACCATCAACACAACAACATCACAACAACACAACAACATCACAACAACAACAACAACATCACAACAACAACAACAACACATCTTCTTTGGTTCTTTCGGTAAAGTCACCACCACGTAGATTGAGAATAAAATAATAAATTGATAAAATAAAATAACACAATAAAATTCTCACGACGTTATTGTGTTATTTTATTTTATCAATGTATTATTATTTTATTCTCATTCTACGTGGTGGTGACGTTACCGAAATAACCAAAGAAGATTAATCCTTGCAGTCACGAAAGCTTTAAACGACATCACAACAACATCACAACAACATCACAACAACAGCAACATCACAACAACATCACAACAACATCACAACAACAACATCACAACAACATCACAACAACAGCAACATCACAACAACACAACAGCAACATCACAACATCACAACAACATCACAACAGCAACATCACAACAACATCACAACAACATCATCACAACAACAACACAACAACAGCAACATCACAACAACAACACAACAGCAACATCACAACAACACAACAACAACAACAGCAACATCACAACAACACAACAACATCACAACAACAACAACACAACAACAACACAACAACAACATCACAACAACATCACAACAACAACACAACAACAACACAACAACAACAGCAACATCACAACAACATCACAACAACATCACAACATCACAACAACAACAACACAACAACAACACAACAACATCACAACAACAGCACATCATCACAACAACAACATCACAACAACATCACAACAACATCACAACAACAACACAACAACACAACATCACAACAACAGCACAACATCATCACAACAACAACAACCGTAATCGCTCAATACAAATGCACGGCGGTTCTGCACCATGCTCCCTACGCCAATCTGCAGACGCACAACAACCGCCACGACAACAACAACCACCACAACAACAACAACAACACAACAACAAAACAACAACAACCACAGTAGAGGCCGACCGAAACAGAGAGGCATACTGTAATAACCACAAATTTCGATTCTAAAGCTTCCGTGATGACTGCAAAAGATTCAGATTTCGATTTAAAGCGTTCGTGATGACTGCAAGGATTCGTCCTCTTTGATTCTTTCGGTATGGTCACCACCACGTAGAAGGGAAACAATAAAATAATAATATTGTTTTATATATGTTTATTATTATTTTATTGTTTCCCTTCTACGTGGTGGTGACTTGTACCGAAAGAACCAAGAATAATAATTTTATTGTTTTATATTTTTATTATTTTATTGTTTCCCTTCTAACGTGGTGGTGACTTGTACCGAAAGAACCAAGAATAATAATTTTATAGGTTTATATTTTTATTATTTTATTGTTTCCCTTCTAACGTGGTGGTGACTTGTACCGAAAGAACCAAGAATAATAATTTTATTGTTTTAGATTTTTATTATTTTATTGTTTCCCTTCTAACGTGGTGGTGACTTGTACCGAAAGAACCAAGAATAATAATTTTATTGTTTTAGATTTTTATTATTTTATTGTTTCCCTTCTAACGTGGTGGTGACTTGTACCGAAAGAACCAACGAATATTCATTCTCGATTTGAAGCTTTCGTGATGACTGCAAAAGATTCATCTTCTTTGGTTCTTTCGGTAAAGTCACCACCACGTAGAATGAGAATAAAATAATACAATAAAATTCTCACGACGTTTCGGCCACAATGCAAGTAGCCTTCTGCAGGTGAAGGAACAGAACTGTCGGGACGACAGAGCTTCAATGGCGTCATCTGGTCCAACACCAGTGTGGAGACTATTTTTTTTCGTACTTTGATACTATTCATCTGGTCCAACACCAGTGTGAGACTAAGGGCTCTAAGAAAAGCCGTCTCGGGTGTGGACCAATCAATGTCAAGGACGCCGCCAATATCATCATCAGAGTTGTCGCTCTTTTTCGATTTAAAGCTTTCGCGATGACTGCAAGATTTTCAGCTTCTTTGGTTCCGTCGGTAAAGTCACCACCACGTAGAATGAGAATAAAATAATAAAATAACACGATAAAATTCTCACGACGTTTCGGCCTTCCTCAGGTGAAGAAACAGGTCTATCCAGGAGACAGAGACAAAGTCTATCCATGAGACAAGAGAGACTCTGTCTCCTGGATAGATTCTGTCTCCTGGATAGATTCTGTCTCCTGGATAGTCCCGTTCCTTCACCTGAGGAAGGCCGCTTGCGTTGTGGCCGAAACGTCGTGAGAATTTCGTCGTGTTATTTTATTATTTTAGTCTCCTCATTCCACGTGGTGGTGACTTTACCGAAAGAACCAAAGAAGATGTACAACCCAAGTTACCCAACACAACATTTATGAAACACCAGCTTTACTACCCCCGGGACTTCCGATTCACCAAGGCCGGGTGCCTTTGTCTCCCCAGTGGCGATGTTGACACACCGCACCGCGTGCACGCTTGAGGCCGAGTCGACCTAGGGGAGGCCCAGGACCGGTTCAAATAATCGTCACCGGCCGTGAGCGGGAGTCGAACTCGGGCCGCCGGGTTCGTAGCGCCAATCTCTAGGTGCGTGACGTCACTTATTGAGGGCCCCAGACCATTGGTTGTGGCTGTCACCTCGCTCGCAAGCTGCTGCTGCTGCTGATGTGTGTGTGTGTGTACGTGTGTGTGTACGTGTGTGTGTACGTGTGTGTGTGTGTGTGTACGTGTGTGTGTGTACGTGTGTGTGTGTACGTGTGTGTGTACGTGTGTCTACGTGTGTGTGTGTGTGTACACGTGTGTGTGTGTACACGTGTGTGTGTGTGTGTACGTGTGTGTGTCTACGTGTGTGTGTGTGTACGTGTGTGTGTGTGTGTACGTGTGTGTGTGTGTGTCTACGTGTGTGTGTACGTGTGTGTGTACGTGTGTGTGTGTGTACGTGTGTGTGTACGTGTGTGTGTGTCTACGTGTGTGTATGTACGTGTGTGTGTGTACGTGTGTGTGTACGTGTGTGTGTATGTGTGTACGTGTGTGTACGTGTGTATGTGTGTACGTATGTGTGTACGTGTGTGTGTCTACGTGTGTGTGTGTACGTGTGTGTGTGTACGTGTGTGTGTGTACGTGTGTGTGTGTGTACACGTGTGTGTGTACGTGTGTGTGTACGTGTGTGTATGTGTGTGTGTGTGTACACGTGTGTGTACACGTGTGTGTGTACGTGTGTGTGTGTGTGTGTCTACGTGTGTGTGTGTGTATGTGTGTACGTGGCCTCAAGGTGCACATGGCCTGGCACAAGCGTCGTGGTGACGTCACCGCCACTTAGTGGCGAATGGCGGTTGTTGTTGTTGTGTGTATGTGTGTGTGTACGTGTGTGTACGTGTGTGTGCGTACGTGTGTGTACGTGTGTGTTCGTGTGTGTACGTGTGTGTGTGTATGCAGCCTATCGCATAGGATTGCCTAGCGCCGACTGACCGGCTGATGAGACTCAGCACGAGTGTTATATTCTCAAAATAGATGTTCGGTTGACGACCGAAAGTCAATATCAGTTTCGGCCGAAACCAAAACCAGACCCAAAGTTAAAAAAAAAATTAAATTACTTTCGTCCGAAACCGAAATAGGCCATCTGCCAACTTTCGGCGGTCTCTAAACCACACAACAACCGCACAACAACCGCACAACAACCGCACAACAACCACAACAACCGCACAACCACCACAACAATACCATGACTACATGGTATTGTTGTGGTGGTTGTGGTGGTGGTTGTTGTGGTGGTTGTTGTAACTGTGGTGGTTGTTGTGGTGGTGGTTGTGTGGCTGATGTTGTAATTGTGGTGGTGGTGTTGGTTGTGGTGGAGTGTTGTAACTGTGATGGTGGTTGTGGTGATGGTGGTTGTTGTTGTGGTGGTTATTGTAACTGTGGTGGTTGTTGTGGTGGTGGTTGTGTGGCTGATGTTGTAATTGTGGTGGTGGTGGTGGTGGTGTTGGTTGTGGTGGAGTGTTGTAACTGTGATGGTGGTTGTGGTGATGGTGGTTGTTGTTGTTGTGGTGGTGGTTGTTGTTGTGGTGGTTGTTGTGGTGGTGGTTGTTGTAACTGTGGTGGTTGTTGTTGTGGTGGTTGTGTGGCTGATGTTGTAATTGTGGTGGTGGTGATGGTTGTGGTCGAGTGTTGTAACTGTGATGGTGGTTGTGGTGATGGTGGTTGTTGTTGTTGTGGTGGTGGTTGTTGTTGTGGTGGTTGTTGTGGTGGTGGTTGTGTGGCTGATGTTGTAATTGTGGTGGTGGTGGTGGTTGTGGTGGAGTGTTGTAACTGTGATGGTGGTTGTGGTGATGGTGGTTGTTGTTGTTGTGGTGGTGGTTGTTGTTGTGGTGGTTGTTGTAACTGTGGTGGTTGTTGTGGTGGTGGTTGTGTGGCTGATGTTGTAATTGTGGTGGTGGTGGTGGTGTTGGTTGTGGTGGAGTGTTGTAACTGTGATGGTGGTTGTGGTGATGGTGGTTGTTGTTGTGGTGGTGGTGGTGGTTGTTGTAACTGTGGTGGTTGTGTGGCTGATGTTGTAATTGTGGTGGTGGTGGTGTTGGTTGTGGTGGAGTGTTGTAACTGTGATGGTCGTTGTGGTGATGGTGGTTGTTGTTGTGGTGGTTGTTGTTGTTGTGGTTGTTGTAACTGTGGTGGTTGTTGTAACTGTGGTGGTTGTGTGGCTGATGTAATTGTGGTGGTTGTGGTGGATTGTTGTGACTGATGCTAGTTGTGGTGGTTGTGGTGATGGTGGTTGTTGTGGTGGTTGTGTGGCTGATGTTGTAATTGTGGTGGTGTTGGTGTTGGTTGTGGTGGAGTGTTGTAACTGTGATGGTGGTTGTGGTGATGGTGGTTGTTGTTGTTGTGGTGGTGGTTGTTGTTGTGGTGGTTGTTGTAACTGTGGTGGTTGTTGTGGTGGTGGTTGTGTGGCTGATGTTGTAATTGTGGTGGTGGTGTTGGTTGTGGTGGAGTGTTGTAACTGTGATGGTGGTTGTGGTGATGGTGGTTGTTGTTGTTGTGGTGGTGGTTGTTGTTGTGGTGGTTGTTGTTGTTGTTGTGGTGGTTGTTGTTGTGGTGGTTGTTGTGGTGGTTGTGGTGATGGTTGTGATGGGTGTGGTGGTTGTGGTTGTTGTGATGATGGTTGTTGTGGTTGTTATGATGGTTGTGGTGGTTGTGGTTGTGGTGGTTGTGGTGGTGGTTGTTGTGGTGGTTGTTGTGGTGGTTGTGGTTGTTGTGGTTGTTGTGGTGGTTGTTGTGGTTGTTGTGATGGTTGTGGGGTTGTTGTGATGGTTGTTGTGGTGGTTGTTGTGGTTGTTGTGGTGGTTGTTGTGGTTGTTGTGGTGGTTGTGGTGGTTGTTGTGGTTGTTGTGGTGGTTGTTGTGGTGGTTGTTGTGATGGTTGTTGTGATGGTTGTGGTGGTTGTTGTAGTTGTTGTGGTTGTTGTGGTTGTTGTTGTGGTTGTTGTGGTAGTTGTGGTTGTTGTGGTTGTTGTGGTGGTTGTTGTGATGGTTGTTGTGATGGTTGTGGTGGTTGTGGTGGTTGTTGTGGTGGTTCTGGTGGTTGTTGTGGTTGTTGTAGTGGTTGTTGTGATGATTGTTGTGATGGTTGTGGTGGTTCGTTGTGATGGTTGTGGTGGTTGTTGTGATGGTTGTGGTGGTTGTTGTGATGGTTGTGGTGGTTGTGTTGGTGGTTGTTGTGATGGTTGTTGTGGTTGTTGTGGTGGTTGTTGTGATGGTTGTGGTGGTTGTTATGATGGTTGTGGTGGTTGTGGTGGTTGTTATGATGGTTGTGGTGGTTGTTGTGGTTGTTGTGATGGTTGTTGTGATGGTTGCGGTGGTTGTTGTGATGGTTGTGGTGGTTGTTGTGGTTGTGGTGGTTGTGTTGGTGGTTGTTGTGATGGTTGTTGTGGTGGAAGTTGTGATGGTTGTGGTGGTTATGATGGTTGTGGTGGTTGTTGTGGTGGTTGTTGTTGTGGTTGTTGTGGTGGTTGTTATGATGGTTGTGGTGGTTGTTGTGGTTGTGGTGGTGGTTGTTGTGGTTGTGGTGGTTGTGGTGGTTGCCACCTCTGCCCAGGTGGAGACACAGCAGGGCTTGTGCCAGGATCATCTGTCCACACCGTAGCATGCAGCCCCAGCCGACATCCGTTGATGGGCCGGTCCCTCCTGAGACACGGGGACACACGGAGACACACATGGAGACACACGGGGACACACACAGAGAGACACACGGGGACACACACAGAGACACACAGAGACACACGGGGAGACACACAGAGAGACACACACAGAGACACACAGAGAGACACACGGGGAGACACACGGGGACACACGGAGACACACATGGAGACACACACAGAGACACACACAGAGACACACACGGAGACACACATGGAGACACACGGAGACACACACAGAGAGACACAGAGACACACACAGAGAGACACAGAGACACACGGGGAGACACACAGAGAGACACACACAGAGACACACAGAGAGACACACGGGGACACACACAGAGACACACAGAGACACACATGGAGACACACAGAGACACACACGGAGACACACACAGAGAGACACACAGAGACACACATGGAGACACACGGGGACACACAGAGACACACACAGAGACACAGAGACACACACGGAGACACACATGGAGACACACGGGGACACACACAGAGAGACACAGAGAGAGACACACAGAGACACACGGGGAGACACACACAGAGAGACACACAGAGAGACACACATGGAGACACACAGAGACACACAGAGACACACACAGAGACACATACAGAGACACACGGAGACACACACAGAGACACACAGAGAGACACACGGGGACACACACAGAGACACACAGAGACACACATGGAGACACACAGAGACACACACGGAGACACACACAGAGAGACACACAGAGACACACATGGAGACACACGGGGACACACAGAGACACACACAGAGACACAGAGACACACACGGAGACACACATGGAGACACACGGGGACACACACAGAGAGACACAGAGAGAGACACACAGAGACACACGGGGAGACACACACAGAGAGACACACAGAGAGACACACATGGAGACACACAGAGACACACAGAGACACACACAGAGACACATACAGAGACACACGGAGACACACACAGAGACACACACAGAGAGACACACAGAGACACACGGAGAGACATGGAAAGACACGGAGACACACACACAGAGACACACAGAGACACACAGAGACACACGGAGAGACACGGAGACACACACACAGAGACACACAGAGACACACAGAGACACACAGAGACACACGGGGATACGGAGACACACGGAGACACACGGGAACACACACAGAGAGACACACAGAGAGACACACAGAGACACACGGGGAGACACACACAGAGAGACACACAGAGACACACAGGGACACACAGAGACACACGGGGATACGGAGACACACGGGGACACACAGAGACACGGGGACACACAGAGAGACACGGGGACACACAGAGAGACACGGGGACACACAGAGAGACACGGAGACACACAGAGAGACACGGGGACACACAGAGAGACACGAGGACACACAGAGAGACACGAGGACACACAGAGAGACACGGGGACACACAGAGAGACACGGGGACACACAGAGAGACACGAGGACACACAGAGAGACACGGGGACACACAGAGAGACACGAGGGCACACAGAGAGACACGGGGACACACAGAGAGACACGAGGACACAGAGAGAGACACAGGGAGAGACACGGGGACACACAGAGACACGGGGACACACAGAGAGACACGGGGACACACAGAGAGACACGGGGACACACAGAGAGACACGGGGACACACAGAGAGACACGGGGACACACACAGAGAGACAGGGAGACACACAGAGAGACACGGGGACACAGAGAGACACGGGGACACACAGAGAGACACGGGGACACAGAGAGACACAGGGACACACAGAGAGACACGAGGACACAGAGAGAGACACGGGGACACAGAGAGAGACACAGGGACACACAGAGAGACACGGGGACACAGAGAGAGACACGGGGACACACAGAGAGACACGGGGACACAGAGAGACACGAGGACACACAGAGAGACACGAGGACACACAGAGAGACACAGGGACACAGAGAGACACGGAGACACACAGAGAGACACGGGGACACACAGAGAGACACGGGGACACAGAGAGACACGGAGACACACAGAGAGACACGGGGACACACAGAGAGACACGAGGACACACAGAGAGACACGAGGACACACAGAGAGACACGGGGACACACAGAGAGACACGGGGACACACAGAGAGACACGAGGACACACAGAGAGACACGGGGACACACAGAGAGACACGGGGACACACAGAGAGACACGGAGACACACAGAGAGACAGAGGGGGACACACAGAGAGACACGGGGACACACAGAGAGACACGGGGACACAGAGAGACACGAGGACACACAGAGAGACACGGGGACACGCAGAGAGACACAGGGAGACTCACGGAGAGACACGGGGACACAGAGAGAGACACGGGGACACGCAGAGAGAGACAGGGACAGCCACGGGGGACAAAGACACACAGAGAGACACACGGGGACACACGGAGACACGGGGACACACAGAGAGACACGGGGACACAGAGAGACACGGGGAGACACACGGAGAGACACGGGGAGACACACGGAGAGACACGGGGACACACAGAGAGACACGGGGAGACACACGGAGAGACAGAGGGTGACAGAGAGACACGGAGAGACACGGGGACACACAGAGAGACACGAAGACACACACAGAGACACGGGGACACACAGAGAGACACGGGGACACAGAGAGACACGGGGAGACACACGGAGAGACAGAGGGTGACAGAGAGACACGGAGACACACAGAGAGACACGGAGAGACACGGGGACACACAGAGAGACACGGGGAAACACAGAGAGACACGGCGACACACAGAGACACAGAGGGAGACACACAGAGAGACACGGGGACACACAGAGACACGGGGACACACAGAGAGACACGGGGACACAGAGAGAGACACGGCGACACACAGAGAGACACGGGGACACACAGAGACACGGGGACACACAGAGACACAGGGACACACACAGAGAGACACGGGGACACACACAGAGAGACACGGGGACACACAGAGAGACAGAGGGAGACACACAGAGAGACACGGGGACACAGAGAGACACGGGGACACACGGAGAGACACGAGGACACAGAGAGAGACACGGGGACACACAGAGAGACACGGGGACACACAGAGAGACACGGGGACACAGAGAGACACGAGGACACACAGAGAGACACGGGGACACACAGAGAGACACGGGGACACAGAGAGAGACACGAGGACACACAGAGAGACACGGGGACACAGAGAGAGACACGAGGACACACAGAGAGACACGGGGACACACAGAGAGACACGGGGACACACAGAGAGACAGAGGGAGACACACAGAGAGACACAGGGACACACAGAGAGACACGGGGACACAGAGAGAGACACGAGGACACACAGAGAGACACGGGGACACAGAGAGACACGGGGACACAGAGAGACACGAGGACACACAGAGAGACACGGAGACACACAGAGAGACACGAGGACACACAGAGAGACAGAGGGAGACACACAGAGAGACACAGGGAGACTCACGGAGAGACACGGGGACACAGAGACACAGGGACACACAGAGAGACACAGGGACACAGAGAGACACGGGGACACACAGAGAGACACGGGGACACACAGAGAGACACGGGGACACACAGAGAGACACGGGGACACACAGAGAGACACGGGGACACACAGAGAGACACGGGGACACAGAGAGACACGAGGACACACAGAGAGACACGGGGACACAGAGAGACACGAGGACACACAGAGAGACACGGGGACACACAGAGAGACACGGAGACACACAGAGAGACACGAGGACACACAGAGAGACACGGGGACACACAGAGAGACACGAGGACACACAGAGAGACACGAGGACACACATAGAGACACAGGGACACACAGAGAGACACGGGGACACAGAGAGACACGAGGACACACAGAGAGACACGGGGACACACAGAGAGACACGAGGACACACAGAGAGACACAGGGACACACAGAGAGACACGAGGACACACAGAGAGACACGAGGACACACAGAGAGACACGGGGACACACAGAGAGACACGAGGACACACAGAGAGACACGAGGACACACAGAGAGACACTCACCCACCCACGTTACCGATCGCTGGTACCAATGCGTCGGTAAGCGAACCTCATGTCTGGAATCACTCACCCACCTCGCTCACTCACCCAGTCACTCGCTCACCTACTTACTCACCCACCCACTTACTCACCCACCCACTTACTCACCCACCCACTCACCCACTTACTCACCGACCCACTTACTCACCCAGCCACTCACCCACCTCACTCACCCACTCACCCACCTACTCACCCACCTCGCTCACTCACCCAGTCACTCGCTCACCTACTTACTCACCCAACCACTCACCCACTTACTCACCCACCCACTTACTCACCCACCCACCTCGCTCACTCACCCAGTCACTCGCTCACCCGCTCACCCACCTACTCAAGCACCTCGCTCACTCAACCAGTCACTCGCCCATCCACTTACTCACCCACCCACTCACCCAGTCACTCGCTCACTCACTCACTCAGCCACCTACTCACCCACCTCGCTCACTCACCCAGTCACTCGCTCACCCACCCACTCACCCACTCACCCACCCACTTACTCACCCACCCACTCACCCAGTCACTCGCTCACCCACTCACCCACCTACTCACGCACCTCGCTCACTCACCCAGTCACTCGCTCACCCACTTACTCATCCACCCACCCATTCACCCACTCACCTAGTTACTCGCTCACTCACTCACCCACCTACTCACGCACCTCGCTCACTCACCCAGTCACTCGCTCACCCACTTACTCACCCACCCACTCACCCACTTACTCACCCACCCACTTACTCACCCACCCACTTACTCACCCACCCACTCACCCAGTCACTTGCTCACCCACTCACCCACCTACTCACGCACCTCGCTCACTCACCCATTCACCCGCTCACCAACTTACCCACCCACCCACTCACCCACTCACCTAGTCACTCGGTCACCCACTCACCCACCTACTCACGCACCTCGCTCACTCACCCATTCACCCGCTCACCAACTTACTCAACCACCCACCCACTCACCCACTCACCCAGTCACTCGCTCACCCACTCACCCACCTACTCACCCACCTCGCTCACTCAACCAGTGACTCGCTCACCCACTCACCCACCTACTCACGCACCTCGCTCACTCACCCAGTCACTCGCTCGCCCACTTACTCACCCACCCACTCACCCACCTACTCACGCACCTCGCTCACTCACCCAGTCACTCGCTCGCCCACTTACTCAATCACCCACCCACTCACCCACCCACCCAGTCACTCGCTCATCCACTCACTCACCTACTCACCCACCTCGCTCACTCACCCAGTCACTCGCTCACCCACTTACTCACCCACCCACCCACCTACCCGCCCACTCACCCGCCCGCTCACTCACCTACTCACGCACCTCGCTCACTCACCCAGTCACTCGCTCACCCACTCACCCACCTACTCACTCACCTCGCTCACTCAATCAGTCACCCGCTCACCCACTTATTCACCCACCCACCCACCCGCCCACTCACCCGCCCACTCACTCACCTACTCACGCACCTCGCTCACTCACCCAGTCACTCGCTCACCCACTCACCCACCTACTCACCCACCTCGCTCACTCACCCAGTCACTCGCTCGCCCACTTACTCACCCACTCACCCACCTACTCACCCACCTTGCTCACTCACCCAGTCACTCGCTCGCCCACTTACTCACCCACCCACCCACTCACCCAGTCACTCGCTCACCCACTCACCCACCTACTCACCCACCTCGTTCACTCACTCAGTCACTCGCTCACCCACTTACTCACTCACCCACTCACCTAGTCACTCGCTCACTCACTCACCCACCTACTCACCCACCTCGCTCACTCAACCAGTCACTCGCTCATCCACTCACCCACCTACTCACGCACCTCGCTCACTCACCCAGTCACTCGCTCGCCCACTTACTCACCCACCCACCCACCCAGTCACTCGCTCATCCACTCACTCACCTACTCACCCACCTCGCTCACTCACCCAGTCAATCGCTCGCCCACTTACTCACCTACCCACTCACTCGCTCACCCACTCACCCACTCACTCACCCACCTCGCTCACTCACCCAGTCACTCGCTCGCCCACTTACTCACCCACCCACCCAGTCACTTACTCACTCGCTCACCCACTCACCCACCTACTCACCCACCTCGTTCACTCACCCAGTCACTCGCTCACCCATTTACTCATCCACCCGCTCACTCACCTACTCACTCACCCAGTCACTCGCTCGTCATTTACTCACCCACCCACCCAGTCACTCACTCACCCACCCTCTCACCCACCTACTCACCCACCTCGCTCACTCACCCAGTCACTCGCTCACCCATTTACTCATCCACCCGCTCACTCACCTACTCACTCACCCAGTCACTCACTCACTCACCCGCCCACCCGCCCACCCGCCCACCCACCCACCCACTCACCCACTTACTCACCCACTTACTCACCCACTCACCCACCCACCCACCCGCCCACTCACCCACCCACCCACCCGCCCACCCACCCGCCCACCCACCCGCCCACTCACTCACCCCATGACCCCATGACCCCCCCCGGTGCGTGCGTTACCGATCGCTGGAAAGTTCCGTCTGTACGTGAACCAGAGCCGGGACCTCACGTCGTCCAGAATCGCATCTTTGTCTGCAGATACACACAGAGGGTGAGCAGAGGGTGAGCAGAGGGTGAGCAGAGGGTGAGCAGAGGGGTGAGCAGAGGGTGAGCAGAGGGTGAGCAGGGGGTGAGCAGAGGGTGAGCAGAGGGTGAGCTACAGTGATACCTGTGTGAGTAGTAGTGGTAGTGGTGGTACCTATGTGAGTAGTAGTAGTAGTGGTACCTGTGTTAGTAGTAGTAGTGGAACCTGTGTGAGTAGTAGTGGTGGTGATACCTGTGTGAGTAGTAGTAGTGGTACCTGTGTGAGTAGTAGTAGTGGTACCTGTGTGAGTAGTAGTAGTAGTGGAACCTGTGTGAGTAGTAGTAGTAGTGGTACCTGTGTGAGTAGTAGTAGTAGTGGTGGTACCTGTGTGAGTAGTAGTAGTAGTGGTACCTGTGTTAGTAGTACTAGTAGTGGTGATACCTGTGTGAGTAGTAGTGGTGGTGATACCTGTGTGAGCAGTACTGGTAGTGGTGGTAGTGGTACCTGTGTGAGTAGTAGTAGTAGTGGAACCTGTGTGAGTAGTAGTAGTGGTGGTACCTGTGTGAGTAGTAGTAGTGGTGGTACCTGTGTGAGTAGTAGTAGTGGTACCTGTGTGAGTAATAGTAGTAGTGGTACCTGTGTGAGTAGTAGTAGTGGTACCTGTGTGAGTAGTAGTAGTGGAACCTGTGTGAGTAGTAGTGGTGGTGATACCTGTGTGAGTAGTAGTAGTGGTACCTGTGTGAGTAGTAGTAGTGGTACCTGTGTGAGTAGTAGTAGTAGTGGAACCTGTGTGAGTAGTAGTAGTAGTGGAACCTGTGTGAGTAGTAGTAGTAGTGGTACCTGTGTGAGTAGTAGTAGTAGTGGTGGTACCTGTGTGAGTAGTAGTAGTAGTGGTACCTGTGTTAGTAGTACTAGTAGTGGTGATACCTGTGTGAGTAGTAGTGGTGGTGATACCTGTGTGAGCAGTACTGGTAGTGGTGGTAGTGGTACCTGTGTGAGTAGTAGTAGTAGTGGAACCTGTGTGAGTAGTAGTAGTGGTGGTACCTGTGTGAGTAGTAGTAGTGGTGGTACCTGTGTGAGTAGTAGTAGTGGTACCTGTGTGAGTAATAGTAGTAGTGGTACCTGTGTGAGTAGTAGTAGTGGTACCTGTGTGAGTAGTAGTAGTAGTGGTGGTACCTGTGTGAGTAGTAGTAGTAGTACCTGTGTGAGTAGTAGTGGTGGTAGTGGTACCTGTGTGAGTAGTAGTAGTGGTACCTGTGTGAGTAGTAGTAGTAGTGGTGGTACCTGTGTGAGTACTAGTAGTAGTGGTACCTGTGTGAGTAGTAGTAGTGGTACCTGTGTGAGTAGTAGTAGTAGTGGTGGTACCTGTGTGAGTAGTAGTAGTAGTGGTACCTGTGTGAGTAGTAGTAGTAGTGGTACCTGTGTGAGTAGTAGTAGTAATGGTACCTGTGTGAGTAGTAGTGGTACCTGTGTGAGTAGTAGTAGTAGTGGTGGTACCTGTGTGAGTAGTAGTAGTAGTGGTACCTGTGTGAGTAGTAGTAGTGGTGGTACCTGTGTGAGTAGTAGTAGTGGTGGTACCTGTGTGAGTAGTAGTAGTGGTACCTGTGTGAGTAGTAGTAGTAGTAGTGGTACCTGTGTGAGTAGTAGTAGTAGTGGTGATGGTACCTGTGTGAGTAGTAGTAGTGGTGGTACCTGTGTGAGTAGTAGTAGTGGTACCTGTGTGAGTAGTAGTAGTAGTGGTGGTACCTGTGTGAGTAGTAGTAGTAGTAGTGGTACCTGTGTGAGTAGTAGTAGTAGTGGTACCTGTGTGAGTAGTAGTAGTAGTGGTACCTGTGTGAGTAGTAGTGGTACCTGTGTGAGTAGTAGTAGTAGTGGTGGTACCTGTGTGAGTAGTAGTAGTAGTGGTACCTGTGTGAGTAGTAGTAGTGGTGGTACCTGTGTGAGTAGTAGTAGTAGTGGTGGTACCTGTGTGAGTAGTAGTAGTGGTACCTGTGTGAGTAGTAGTAGTAGTAGTGGTACCTGTGTGAGTAGTAGTAGTAGTGGTGATGGTCCCTGTGTGAGTAGTAGTAGTGGTACCTGTGAGTAGTAGTAGTAGTAGTGGTACCTGTGTGAGTAGTAGTAGTGGTACCTGTGTGAGTAGTAGTAGTGGTACCTGTGTGAGTAGTAGTAGTAGTGGAACCTGTGTGAGTAGTAGTAGTAGTGGTACCTGTGTGAGTAGTAGTAGTAGTGGTGGTACCTGTGTGAGTAGTAGTAGTAGTGGTGGTAGTGGTACCTGTGTGAGTAGTAGTAGTGGTACCTGTGTGAGTAGTAGTAGTAGTGGAACCTGTGTGAGTAGTAGTAGTAGTGGTACCTGTGTGAGTAGTAGTAGTAGTGGTGGTACCTGTGTGAGTAGTAGTAGTGGTACCTGTGTGAGCAGTAGTAGTGGTGGTACCTGTGTGAGTAGTAGTAGTGGTACCTGTGTAAGTAGTAGTAGTAGTGGTGATACCTGTGTGAGTAGTAGTAGTAGTGGTACCTGTGTTAGTAGTAGTAGTAGTGGTGATACCTGTGTGAGTAGTAGTGGTGGTGATACCTGTGTGAGCAGTACTGGTAGTGGTGGTAGTGGTACCTGTGTGAGTAGTAGTAGTAGTGGAACCTGTGTGAGTAGTAGTAGTAGTGGTACCTGTGTGAGTAGTAGTAGTAGTGGTGGTACCTGTGTGAGTAGTAGTAGTAGTGGTACCTGTGTGAGTAGTAGTAGTGGTACCTGTGTGAGTAGTAGTAGTGGTACCTGTGTGAGTAGTAGTAGTAGTGGTGGTGATACCTGTGTGAGCAGTACTGGTAGTGGTGGTAGTGGTACCTGTGTGAGTAGTAGTAGTAGTGGAACCTGTGTGAGTAGTAGTGGTGGTACCTGTGTGAGTAGTAGTAGTGGTACCTGTGTGAGTAATAGTAGTAGTGGTACCTGTGTGAGTAGTAGTAGTGGTACCTGGGTGAGTAGTAGTAGTAGTGGTGGTACCTGTGTGAGTACTAGTAGTAGTGGTACCTGTGTGAGTAGTAGTGGTGGTACCTGTGTGAGTAGTAGTAGTGGTACCTGTGTGAGTAATAGTAGTAGTGGTACCTGTGTGAGTAGTAGTAGTAGTAGTGGTACCTGTGTGAGTAGTAGTAGTAGTGGTGGTACCTGTGAGTACTAGTAGTAGTGGTACCTGTGTGAGTAGTAGTAGTGGTACCTGTGTGAGTAGTAGTAGTGGTACCTGTGTGAGTAATAGTAGTAGTAGTGGTACCTGTGTGAGTAGTAGTAGTAGTAGTGGTAGTGGTACCTGTGTGAGTAGTAGTAGTAGTAGTGGTGGTACCTGTGTGAGTAGTAGTGGTAGTGGTACCTGTGTGAGTAGTAGTAGTAGTAGTGGTGATACCTGTGTGAGTAGTAGTAGTAGTGGTACCTGTGTGAGTACTAGTAGTAGTAGTGGTACCTGTGTGAGTAGTAGTAGCGGTACCTGTGTGAGTAGTAGTAGTGGTGGTACCTGTGTGAGTAGTAGTAGTAGTGGTACCTGTGTGAGTAGTAGTAGTAGTAGCGGTACCTGTGTGAGTAGTAGTAGCGGTACCTGTGTGAGTAGTAGTAGTAGTAGTGGTACCTGTGTGAGTAGTAGTAGCGGTAGTGGTGGTACCTGTGTGAGTAGTAGTAGTGGTGGTAGTGGTACCTGTGTGAGTAGTAGTAGTGGTACCTGTGTGAGTAGTAGTAATGGTGGTACCTGTGTGAGTAGTAGTAGTAGTGGTGGTACCTGTGTGAGTACTAGTAGTAGTGGTACCTGTGTGAGTAGTAGTAGTAGTGGTGGTACCTGTGTGAGTAGTAGTAGTGGTGGTACCTGTGTGAGCAGTAGTAGTAGTGGTACCTGTGTGAGTAGTAGTAGTGGTACCTGTGTAAGTAGTAGTAGTAGTGGTGGTTCCTGTGAGTAGTAGTAGTGGTACCTGTGTGAGTAGTAGTAGTGGTGGTACCTGTGTGAGTAGTAGTAGTAGTGGTACCTGTGTGAGTACTAGTAGTAGTGGTACCTGTGTTAGTAGTAGTAGTAGTGGTGGTACCTGTGTGAGTAGTAGTAGTGGTACCTGTGTGAGTAGTAGTAGTAGTGGTGGTACCTGGGTGAGTAGTAGTAGTGGTACCCTGTGAGTAGTAGTAGTGTAGTAGTGGTGTTACCTGTGTGAGTAGTAGTAGTGGTGGTACCTGTGGTGAGTAGTAGTAGTGGTAGTAGTGGTGTTACCTGTGTGAGTAGTAGTAGTGGTACCTGTGTGAGTAGTAGTGGTACCTGTGTGAGTAGTAGTGGTAGTGGTACCTGTGTGAGTAGTAGTAGTAGTGGTACCTGTGTGAGTAGTAGTAGTAGTGGTGCTGGTACCTGTGTGAGTAGTAGTAGTGGTGGTACCTGTGTGAGTAGTAGTAGTGGTACCTGTGTGAGTAGTTAGTAGTGGTACCTGTGTGAGTAGTAGTAGTGGTACCTGGTGAGTAGTAGTGGTGGTGATACCTGTTGTGAGCAGTATGGTAGTGGTGGTAGTGGTACCTTTGTGAGTAGTAGTAGTAGTGGAACCTGTGTGAGTAGTAGTAGTGGTGGGTACCTGTTGTGAGTAGTAGTAGTGGTACCTGTGTGAGTAGTAGTAGTAGTGGTGGTAGTGGTACCTGTGTGAGTAGTAGTAGTGGTACCTGTGTGAGTAATAGTAGTAGTGGTACCTGTGTGAGTAGTAGTAGTGGTACCTGTGTGAGTAGTAGTAGTAGTGGTGGTACCTGTGTGAGTACTAGTAGTAGTGGTACCTGTGTGAGTAGTAGTAGTGGTACCTGTGTGAGTAGTAGTAGTAGTGGCTACCTGTGTGAATTATTAGTACTAGTAGTAGTGGTGGTACCTGTGTGAGTAGTAGTAATGGTGGTACCTGTGTGAGTAGTAGTAGTGGTGGTACCTGTGTGAGTAGTAGTAGTAGTGGTGGTGGTACCTGTGTGAGTACTAGTAGTAGTAGTAGTGGTGGTACCTGTGTTAGTAGTAGTAGTAGTGGTGGTACC